TTTGTGTTGTGTCTTGCTCCTGTGACTGCGTGTGTTTAACACCCATGGCTTTATAAAGTAAGTAAAAATTCAGTAACAGTTTTGAACGGAAACAGGCCCAATAAAGAAGATACTTAGATAGTTCAGAGTTACTGGTGGAGATGCCACCCTGTTTCAGTGTTGCGGGGTAGCTTTTAATCCTCAAACCCAGTCAAACACACTTCACTAGCCATAAAATAGGATGGCTCTTATAAATGGAACTAAATATGATTACTGAAAGGTATTATGAGTCATCAACCTGAACAAAATATCTAATGACAGGTGTCTACTATTTCCTGCTATTCCTAGCTTTGTGAATTTTTTCCATTGTCTGATGCTCAAAAAGGGAACACAAGATTTCAGGAGCTAGATCTGCTTCCTCAGATAAGGGGTTTCTACCCATCTGGGTCCATTAGAAAGAACTACTCACCTAATCACCATGTGTATATTTGTTCAATTGCCAACAGCATTACATACATAATGCATAGGTGTATTTCAGATTTTCCATCACATCAAATTGTTGTGTCTGGCCCCACTGGTTCAATGGTTATCACCATTAAACTGAAAGCTAGAAGAAACCTGGCACTCTCACCTTGTTGTTATTCTACATTCTATAAAACAATATTTTTCCCAAACTTTGCATACTTCTACAAGGTCTATTAGCATACATTATGCAGGACCATTAAGTGAGCAGTGCTTCTTCCCTTACACTTCACATGTTTGTGCATCTGCCTCCAGTATATCATATTCATTTCAAATTTCATGAAAATAGGCCAGCTGATTCAAAAGTTGAAGTGGGAGAGAGAGACACACACACACTTTCACAGATTTATAATATCATAAGCCTATTTTTTTCCTTATGGAAAGGAAGTAGGCAAAACATGGACTACATTTCTGATAAAATAACTTCTTTAGCCCAGAGAAAAAGAAAGGTCTGTCACAGCTTGATTTAGATATGTAGTGTGTGTAACAGTCAGTCATGATGATATACTCGTATGTATTTATGTGACCCAGTTGCATGTAATGTGGAACTTGTTCTGAAATTTCCTCATTATTCAATCATTATATGTGTATGTTCATGTTGATTTTGCCTTTACCTTTGAACCAGCGGAAAGTTCTCACTGAAAATTCAATGGGAAGTCTGATATAACCTGCCTTTGTCTCTCACAGTGGTTCCACACATATCACTTATTCATCCCATTCAATTGTCCAAGTTGTGAAAGTATGTATATACACACCGAGGCAGTCTGACAATTAATTCTAGCTGTGAGATATTGAGACTAACCGTGTCTTCTGTAAGTGCATATGACACAGCCAGTCATAAACTATCTTTTATCCTGCTGTATATATGCAGTGAAATTTGGCAATTTTGGGTTACCATAGTAACAAATTGTCAAGAATTTTATTTGTTTCATTCTGGTCCATCACACTAATACATGTAAGGTCATGAAAAGTTAAACAGTTCCATCTAGTATGATTGAAGATTTTTCTTATTTCAATTATTTATGCCCTTACATGTTTCGGTCTTCAGGGACCATCTTCAGAGGGACACCTTTACATCAATACAGTTAGAAGTCACTATTACAGTACATGTTATAAAAGTTAAATGTATACATACAATATTAATAATATACACTTGGTTATAAAATCTAAAGTCTTTACAACTACAGCAGCTGTTCTAATACATTAAAATATTTATAGTTGCTTTGTTAAGACTCCATTGGATTTCGTAAACCAGGCTGGTTTGTGTTGTCCCGCTTATTATTTCTTTTGTTGTATCAATGTAAGTCATATATTAGGTTATGAACGAGCGAGCAGTCTTCCATTTCAATGTACTATTATGCTGTTTTCTATGAATACTGATAATGCGTTTTTTTTATTGCTAGTGGGGTGGGACTAAGTCCCTTGTGCTGCAGCCACTTCTGGCCTATTTTACCGGCCCCAAGATGATAGATGAGGGTGACTGTGAAGCAATTGTTGGAATGAAGATTGGCAGGGGAAACCGAAGTACTCGGAGAAAACCTGCCCCAGCGCCACTTTGTCCACCACAAATCCCACTTCACAAAACCCGGGATGGAACCCAGGCCGCCACGGTGGGAAGCCAGAGACTAACCGCTTGAGCTATGGCGCCTGATAATATGTTAAAGCAGACTAGGCCAAAAAAGAAATGCTAGCTTAACTTACTCAATTTTGGTTGACATCTTCAAAATAATCTCCTTGGGAACGTACACAGCGATCCGATTGTTTTTGTTCACGCTTCAAAAGCGCCTTGGAAGTCATTTTCCTTAATTCTGTCGAGTACAGCTTACGATTCCCGATTTCAAAACGTCAACCCTTCAGTTTCATTTACAATTTGTGAAACGAAGCGACATCACAGGGGGCTAAGCCCGGCGAGTAGGTAGGATGGGAAGCGATAACCATGTTGTTAGTAGTCACAAACCAGTGGTTTTCAGGGACGTGTGGGCAGGCCCGTTGTGATGAAGGAGCCAGTTGTGTTTGCGCCAAAATTCCGATCTTTTTTCGTCCCAAATTCTCTCTCAGAACTTCACAGTAAAAGTCAGATTTGACCGGAGTGTTAGGAGAAACTAGTTCACAGTGAACAATGCCCTTCACGTCGGAAAAAAAAACAACGAGCATGCTTTTTGTTGAACTGCTGCGCCTTTTTTGCTCTTGGCGATTGTGGGCTCTTCCACTGCGACGATTGTTGCTTTGTTTGTAGATCATAACCGTAAATCCAAATTTCGTCACCTGTTGTCCTAGAGAGAAAATTTGGGTCCTCGTTAGCCTTCTCTCATAACTCAAGGCACACGTTTAGGCGCCGCTGCTTTTGATCATTTGTCAAGAGTTGGGGAGCAAACTTTGCTCCACACGCGGCACATGTTCAAATTTTCTGTTGAGATCTCCTGGAAAACTCCATAACTGACCCCAGTCGTGTCCGCGAGCTTATGAATTGTTCGGCGACGGTCTTCGTGGATGAGTTCTCGAAATTTTCAACTTTTCTTTTTGTCGTTTTGCTGGTGGTTTGTCATCCTGAACTGAAACTCGACAGGCCTTGAAACGCGAATATCTTTCAAAAACTGCTGTCCGACTTAAAGAATGTTCTCCAAATGCCTCACGGAGCATTTCAAGGGTTTCGGTAGCGGATTTACCAAGCTTCGCGCAAAACTTAATGCAAACACGTTGCTCGATTTTGCCATTCATCGCAGACAAAAAGAAACGCGAAGTCGAAAAAGCACTCGTGTAAAAACAATGCCTGTTCACAGCGCGTTGTCACTTGGCAGAGTGATGCAATAGGCTTGCGGAAGGGTGACCTTGTCCTCCCCTCTCAACTTCTTTCATCCGGGAACTTTCTGATAGAAGAGACGGTTTACGATTCACAATTTTACATGATATTCGCGGAAGGTGGTCCTGAATATCGGCCCCATTGTATCATTCGATAACATGTAGGGCTGAAAAAGTAATACAAGCGAGAGCAGAGAAATGTTATAGTTCGGAAGCCTATATAGCAAGTGATGAGAGTATCCATTGAATTCTAAACAGGTGTTAACACTAGATGTGCACGGGAATATATATTGTTCTTTTTTTACAATTTCATGATCATGGCCAAGAAATTACAAGTGTTTTGATTGCATAGGTTCCAGACTTACAGTAACAGCTGGAGTGCAGATCCCCTTCCCAAAGCCACCCAGCGCTCTCCCCAGAAGCATGACTGGGTATGTACTTGTTATGGCTATCAGTAACCAGCCAGTACAGACACACGAAACAGCAATCTGAACAGCGGGTTTTCTGCCCCACAAATGCATTAGGACTCCACTCAGCAGACAGCCCACAGATGTACTGCCAATATAGATGCTCACTGCAAACAGATGTAAATGCTTACAAGTGGCGTAGATTTATACTAGTACTAGATACCTTTCACGTTAAAGACGGTATTTTTCTTTGCACAAAAGCAGGACGTTGAACAAAACTGCATAATGAGGAGCTTCATAACTTGTACTCTTCTCCAAGTATAATTAGAACGATTAAGTGAAGGAGGATGAGGTGGACAAGGCATGTAGCACGAATGGGGAGAAGAGGAATGCATATAGAATATTGGTGGGAAGCCAGAAGGAAAGAGACCACTAGGAGGACGAAGACGTGCGTGGGTGGATAATATTAAAATGGATCTTAGAGAGATAGGATTGGGTGGTATTGGCTGGATTGATCTGGCTGAGGATAGGGAACAATGAAAGGCTTTTGTGAACATGGTAATGAACATTCGGGCTCCATAAAATGTTGGTAAATTCTTGAGTAGCTGTACAACTAATGGTGTCTTAAGGGCTCAGCTGCATGTATCTTTTTATATATGTATGTCGAAGAAAGAGCGAGGAAAACGGGAGGCTGAAGGAAATTCCTTAATGACGAACTTAAAAATTCGAACTCCTGGCCAAAGCGTGATAAAGGTAAAGTCTGACAGAATCAGATTTCGTACAGTTTCAGGATCTGCTGACTCAACGGCGAAGATCCATTTGCATTACAGTAAACTAGAAGAAGTTTATATTAACCTGTGTCACACACATGAAAGTGTTGACATACAAATACAAAAGTAACTAACCCTACGGAACAGAGTCCATCTTGGAAATCTAGCAGTTGCTCAGCTAGTCAAATTCCCAGCGCTCAGTGGAAACTGTAGGTTCATTACCTTGTTCACAAGAGCCAGTCACTAACCCCTGTCCTGAGTCAGTTGAATGTAGTCTGCATCTTTCTGTTCTGTTTCTTTTATTTTGATTCATATTACTATCCTGACATCTAGTGCTAGGTCTTCCAAGTGGTCTCATTCCTTCAAGTTTCCATATCAAAATTGTTTATACATTTCCCTTCTCTCCCATGCATGCTATATCCTCTGCCCCTCTTATTCCCAGTAGTTTGATCATGTTTATAATATCTAGCACACAGAGCGAATTATAAAACCCTTCATAATGGAGTTTTCCCCAGTCTTCTGTTGCTTCCTACCTCTTAGCTCCAGACACCCTCCTCTGAGCCCTATTCTCAAACGCCCCAGTCTGCTTTCTTCCCTGAGTCACGATTGTATCCGGAACAGGTTCATGCTCTTACCAATCCATGACTCGCCCTCCTCGTTTATTTCAAAGCCACTGTTGTTTGCTCGAAGCTGAGGAAGGAGGACAGCCGAGTAGCCACTAGTTAATCCATTGCAGATAGCTGTTATGTACACCAAAGTTGCCATTATTGCCTGGAAGCATACGAAGTAGTTAATTCAACATGACTCATCCTGTGTTAAGTAAAGAAGTAAAGTTTGTTCGTCTTTGCATTTAATTCAGCACCGCGCCGTGACCATGCTTGTGTGAGTGAGATATAGCTAGATGGACTTAAATGATGAGGTACACACCCTAGCAGCTTTAAGGCGCAACCACATTACTCGTGCTCGTGTGACTCGCTATGCTCGCGAGTAATGTGGACGATATGACAAGTCACGAGACAAGCAAATTTGAAATTTTTAATTTAAAACTGTAGCCAATAAATTAAAATAAGACTACAGCCTATACACACTACGAGTAAATATACGGGTCCTCACGCGCCGAAGCCTGGCGAGCAACTGAAGTAGTGTGGACGAAGATTTACGAGCACAAGTAAAAGCCAGACGAGTCTCCCAACGAGCGCAAGCCTGGCGAGCACGAGCACGAGTAATGTGGACGCGCCTTTAGACCCAGAGAAAGAATCGGTTCCTATTGAAAAGGAGGGTTGATGGACCTTATCCGCCCTAGAGAAAATCCCTTGGTCCTACCTGAAATCGAACACCAATTGTTCAGTCGTCAAGTTTGTTGTCTAGTCACTACTCCGTTAAGCTAATGGTGCAAAATAAAAAAGTAAAGCTATCCCTGTAACAGGCCGAAAAGCCCATTGGGTTGTGAGACGTTGAGGGACCCACATTATCTAGACAATCGACTAAAAGATGGTGGTAAGGTTGTCAGCCTTACGCGTCGGCAGCGCTTTACTCCCCAGGAAAATTATTTAATTAACTCCTGGTACTCGTTTCAGTTAGAGGTTGAGTCGACCCCAGGGCTGTTGTGCAGTCGAAAGGATTAGGTCAATTGAAAAAATCCAGTGACCTCATCGGGACGTTAACCCGCGACCTTCCGGCTTGTAGCATAGTGCCTCATCCAACTACGCTAATGCCTACCCCCAAGCTAATGGTGTACAAAGAGTGTTTAATAAACACAAAGTTGATATGTTTATGATCTGGAGCCGGGATAACGTAGTCTGTATAGCGACTGGCTATGGGATGGACGACCGACGGGTAGGATTTCGAGTCCCGGTAGGGTCAAGAATTTTCTGTTCACCACGTCGTCCAGACCGGTTCTGGGATCCTCCCAACCTCAAATCCAATTGGTACCGGAGGCTTCTTCCCCCGGGGGTAAAGCGGCCGGGTGGTGAATTTGACCGTTCACTTCTAGCTAATGCCGAGGTCAAGATGATGTAGATCTATACATCCACTCCCCCCCACACCTTCATGGCGTAGTGCTTAATTAGTTAAGAATAGGGGAGACTTTACCTTTTTACCTTTTTTTTTTCCTTGGCACTACAGCCCCAGTGGGCCTAGGCCTACCCCCATGAACTTCTCCGTTCACTTCGGTTTTTCTAGATCTTACACATTCGGTAGGACTCCTTGGGCGGGTGATCAGCTCGTCGCAAAGCCTCTACCTGTACACAAACACAGAGAAACGCACACACACAAACTAAACATCCATGCCCTGAGTGGGATTCGAACTCACGATCCCGGTTTCCAAGCGAGCGAAGACAGTACATGCCTTAGACCAGTGCTTCTCAACCGCCGGGCCGCGGCCCAGTAGTGGGCCCTGGCATCAATTATACTGGGCCCCGAGAGGCTCTTCGGGAATTTGTAATTTTCATTTTCTAAGCATTTTTCATGAATAAATATTTTATAGTGGAAATATTCTGAGGAGAATAATATTTGTGTCGCGAAGCTCAGACACAGAACACCTAAATCTGTGTAGCAAATGTCAGTGACCAAGTCGCATATTTTTAAACATGGAAGTATTCATGAATGATCGTGAATTTTCAGACATCCAAATCTGTCAACATTCGGGAAAGGCAATACCGATGTTTATGACCAGTCATAAAAATTGCCTGCAAGCCGATTACAACAATGGGCGGCATATCCTCTGTTCTCAGAACTGAGCGGAATAACATCTGTGTTACAAATGTCAGTGACCAATCAACAATGAAGTATAAAGCAAATGTTTCCACTGAAATTGAAGATCAAGGCAGTCTGTATCCGGTTCTCAAATCTAGTAATACTGAATACTGTTTCTTCGCAAGTTCTCATTGCAGTGTGTAAGTGCTTGTTTCGAAACCTGAGTGATTTAAATTTTAGTATGAATAAGAGACAGGGGACTTTGTTTAATTTTGGCGTTAAGAAATCTCGTATTGAAGATGTTTGTGACGCAAGAAGTAGTGATTCATCCACCTCAAGCCTACATAGCCATCTCCAGGATTTACAAAATGAAGGGAAAACCATCAGCACATAGAAGAAAAAGTCTGCATCCTTTCGTAAGTACGAATACATGGACAGCTACTTAAAATTTGGTTTCATACAAGGCCCTAACATTGACCAATTGCCACGACCTCACTGTGTCATTTGTGCTACTGTTCTGGGAAATGAAGCTATGAAGCCATCGCGACTTACCCGACATTTCAACACAAGACATTCCGATCTAGTCAACAAACCTATTGAATTCTTTATGCGTAAGAGAGATGCACTTAAAGTAGAAAAGAAAATTATTTACCAAGCTTCAACCACCGACACTTCACTTCTGACGGCATCCTATTTAATATCACTACAGATAGCTAAATGTAAAAAAACATATTCCATTGGGGAATAACTCATTAAGCCTTCTTTGATTGCTACTTGTAATGAAGTATTAGGTCAGTCTCTCACTGCCGTTTTTTTTTTTCAAAACAACATCATTAAAATCAATTTAATAATACAATAATCAATTTTACGCTGAATAACATAAGTTTTTCGTGATCAGCATGGGATATGTCAGTGAAAATTAGGACAAATTAATTTAATGATGTTCGTCTGAGGAAACTACAAAATACTACAAGATTTCATTAGTCCAGTGATTGATAACTAATTTAAATGTAATTTTATGTTTGTCAACATGCCGCACCGTATATATAAGTGTACTAATACTCTTTATGATTATGCTATACTTAATTACTAATATTACGTTAGCTTAATGCATGATCTTTAACAGAACTGGAAAGGTATTTACGAGTAAATTTGTTGGGACTGGGCCCTCGTCTTTTAAAAAACGGGACTTACTGGGCCTCCGTCTCATAAATGTTGAGAACCACTGCCTTAGACCGTTCGGCTACCGTGACCGGCACCTTTTTACCCTTTACTTTATGTTTATGATCTCTATCAGATGCCCGTTTTGAATAGTTTATCAGTTATAGCCATCAGTTCGAATACTACAGAAGATTTTCCCATGACCGCCTTGTTCTTATATACGAACATATGTTCTCAACAAGAGTTTTATTCCTTTTCATGCATCCTTTGAAGGCCTCAGAGTAAGTGTCTCTTGTGCCATTCCTGCCTCACAAATTCACGTGTCAGCCATATTGTTATTACCGATTGAGGTTAAAAAGTACGGTTTTGGGGAAATCAAATTTCGATTTGTTACTGAACTATGTAGCATTTTCAAATGATCTGTGTTGTGTTATACTTTATTATGAATTCGTGACAAGACATCAAGGTACAAAATGAGATTGAATCATAAATGACTATTAACTAACAAGATAGAGAATATGTTTCTATTTAACGAATCCACGGGAAATCAACAAATCTGTGTGAGCATATCCTTAGCTATGTTCAGCAGTTCCATTCAGATCCATAGGGCCGTAAATTTTGTACCATTTATTTTTAAAACGTGACATTTCCTGAGCCACTCGGTATACTTCCATAGGTTCATACATTTCAGATGGATCACTATGTTTTCTGTGGGCTACTTTACTACGCTGTATGCACCCAGAATACAGCCTAGCGTCGAGTGATAGAATAATATGTGAATGGTGAATTAGGAAGGATTTGGAAAGTAAGAACCATGACATAATCGAAATACTGTCAGGTTTTACCTGAAGGGACTGAGGAATTCTGCCATAAACGTCAGGAACAGGGTCACGATAACTTGTATTCCGACCTAAATTAGAACGGAATACTTAAATAATATGAATCTGGAGCATTACTGACAAGTCCACCCGCTCCGTCGAGTCGCTGTTTCGTTATTCATATTATTTTTTTTTCATTTAAAATGCAAATAAGTTTTTGCCCGGTGGCAGTCGCACTACAATAAGACACAACACACAAATACACACATCACACAAAATAACACACCACACTCAAACAAAACATAGCACATAAAACTACACAAACAACAAAGAACACATTAGCACACAATAAATACAATGAAAATACACTTGCAATTATAACAAATAAATCACAGCTACAATTATATAAATTAATATTAATGAAAGAATGAGTATATTATACACTAAACAGTAATTAGTACTGGAATGTATAATGTCATATTCTGATGCGTCCCAATTTTACAATGACTTTCCCTTTATCCCACTTCACTTCATATCACTTCACATCACATCACATCACATCACTTCACTTCACTTCACTTCACTTCACTTCACTTCGCTTCCACTACGTTCACTTCACTGCCTTTTCGGATGATTTCCCGTAGACTTTCACTTAGCCTTATTTATTGCTTTCCTAACCCTTTTCCTAAAGTTACTTGATTTACAAGAGTGAGTTCCTAAAGCATCTTGAAGTAGGTGGTTCCAAAGGCCGATGGTCCTCTTTACAAGTAAATACTTTTCGATATCTCTCTTTTGCTTTCTGCTCCTAATTTTCCTATCATGATCGACCCTGCTCAGTTAGCATGTTCTTTGTAATCTATCGCCTATAGCTTCCCAAGCCCGCTCTCCCTTGTATGCTTTGAAAACAGCACATGTACGAGCTATCTTTCTGCGCTCTATCAAGGTATCCCAGTTCGAATTGTTCCTATGATGTGCAAATTTAGCCGCCATATATTGGACCCGGTCTAGCGCATTTATCTGTCCCTTCCTATAACGATCCCAGCACACCGCCCCATATTCAAGAATCGGACGTACTAGTGATGTGTAGGATAAACTTCTAGTGTTAGTATTTCCCTTTTTAAGAATACGCATTGTAAAATGAAGTGCCTTCCAAGCTTTTTCCGCCGTGTAATTAACTTCATCAGCCCAACTTAATCGCTGCGTAAAATTATTACCAAGTATTTAAAACTACTGGCTTCCGGAATTACTATGTCCGGTAACGAATAATTTAGTGGTTCCGTCACTCTGGATCTCGTGAAACAAACTGTCTTGCTTTCAGCTGGTTTAATTACCATCGCATTTTCAGCCGCCCACTCCCCCAGCCTGTTCAGATCTATCTGCAAATTCTTCATATCTGTATTATTTATAATTTTCATATATATTTTACAGTCATGTGCGAAAAGTCTAATAATTGACTCAGTATTTCTCCCAATGTCATTTACATACACAATGAACAGAAGTGGACCCAGTTCACTTCCTTGCGGTACTCCTGACGTTACTCTGACTTCCTCCGGTAATTGCCCTCCAACTCTAACTCTCTGTGTACGTACGCGAGGAACAGAAGTGGACCCAGTTCACTTCCTTACGGAACTCCTAACCGTACTCTGACTTCTTCCGGTAATTTCCCTCCTACTCTAACTCTCTGTGTACGTACGCAAGGAACAGCAGTGGACCCAGTGCACTTCCTTGCGGTACCCCTGACATTACTCGGACTTCCTCTAGTAATTGCCCTCCTACTCTAACTCTCTGTGTACGTACGCGAGGAACAAAAGTTGACCCAGTGCACTTCCTTGCGGTACTCCTGACGTTACTCTGACTTCCTCCGGTAATTGCCCTCCTACGCTAACTCTGTGTACGTGCTCATGGAACGGTAGTGGACCCAGTGCACTTCCTTGCCGTACTCCTGACGTTACTCTGACTTCCTCCGGTAATTGCCCTCCTACTCTAACTCTCTATGTACGGCTCAAAATGAATTCCCTTATCCATAAAACTACCCTCGTGTGCACTCCGGAGACAGTAATTTTCGTAAGCAGCCGATAATGGGAACTAATTCGAAAACCTTCGCAAAATCTATTATAAGCGTCTATCCCACTTCCGTTATCCAGTGAGTCTGCATTGTCCTGGAAAACCTTGAATACTTGACTTTCGGATGAATATCCCGGCCTGAATCCATTCTGAACCTCGAATATCCAATCCTTTTTATCACAGGTTTTCTTCAGTTTCGAAGCAATAACGTGTTCCATTTTCTCGCAGACCACTGAGGTTAAACTGACGGGTTTATAAATTGAGACCAGCGACATACGAGATGACATCAGAAGTGGCTAAAACTCTGTTTTATTTTCCTTGATTTTTTATTTTTACTTATTCTGTTGCGCTTACCCCCTTCTATATCTAAACTACAATGTACCTTGGAAACCCCTCGAGCTGCCCTTAGAGGAAACTCACCTGAGCAAAAATCGGGCGTGATTTGTTTTCAGGTTTCTGCCCAGGTACAAGCGAGTCGCTAAGTGTTGCCGTCGGCAGTTCTTGTGTGACGGCTTCCATTATGCGCCGTGTGCAGACAGACCTACGAAAGTAGAGTAATGTATAGTCTGGGCTTGAGTGGTGTATATATAAAGAGTTTGCAGGCAGCATGGCGAATTTTTACCTGTGTCTTAGTTCAGATAAAGAAGTCTGTAAAATTTGAACCATATTAGCTTCGTCATGTCTGCCTGTGTGTCCTCATGTAATGGGTTTGATAGCGGGAGGTGTTTTTAAAACCCACTGGTACATTCCTGATACGATTCACATCAGATAACAATAATGGACACTTTTTATGAACACTTACGTGCATTTCCGCAAGCATCTTGAGGGTAATTCGTTAATTTATACTATCCTAGAGAAAATGTTTTCAGTAGAAGTTTGAAACAACATTTGAAACAAAACTGCAGAACCGTTGGACCGATTTTGATCGAATTTTGTATTGGACATCCTTACTGAAACCTAGATGCAGTAGGAGAGGGAACGCGCTAGAACTGCTACGCCACTATGTGTGAGTTTTCTAATTTGTTGCAGCCGCAAAAGTGGGCAAGCACACATACACACAGTCTCCGAACAGGCCGATCTGGAGGTAACGGTCTTGACTTATATTCTGGAGATGTTCGATTCGAATCTTGGTCGAGATATCGAGTATTATGACTGAGAATTTTAGTGGTTTTCCACAGGCTCTTCGAGGCACATGCTAGGATAGTACTTCGATTAGGCCACAACTGCTTTCTTCCACGTCCTTTCAAAATTAATATTCCACAATTTAATCCTGTGGAGGCAAGCAATAGTGTAATTGATTGAGGCATTATGCTGCAAGCCGGAAGGTCGCGGGTTCGAATTCCGATGAGGTCTTTGAATTTTTCAATTTACCTAATCCTTCCAGCCGCACTATTGCCCTAGGGTCGACTCAGCCTCTAACAGAAATTAGTACCAGGAATCTTCCTGAGGGGTAAAGAGCGGATGGCGCGTAAGACTGGTAACCTCACCGCCATCTGTGAACCGATTATCTAGAACATGTGAAAGCCTCGACGTCTCAGAATCCTATGAGCCTTCACGGCCTGTTACAAGAATAGCTTTACCTTTCTACCTTTACGAGTACAATTCAACCCTATATAGTCTAGCTACTGACAGCGTCATAAAATTAACCACGAAGATAAACATACTGAGACTTTTCAGTTAGCTTGGAGAATATTTTAACACTTTTATGTTATTTAAGCAACACTTTTATGAGTAAAGGAAAAGACATATCTTTTGTACTATATTGCATACGTTTTTGTTATTAAACCGGGTGCTGTGCAACACAAGAGATAAATTGTAAAATCTGAGGTTTTCACTGCGGCGACTATGAAGAAATCAGTCTTCTGGGATGTGGCGCCGTGTAGAAATTGTGTTAACCGACGTTTCGGAGGAACGTATCGCCTCCATCTTCAAGTTAGAAGACAAGAAGAAATCCGCGGGCGAAGCAGCGTGGGCATGTCCACCTCCGAAACGTCGGTTAAAACAATATCTGCAAGGCGCCACATCCCAGAAGACTGCTTTCTTCAAGAGATAAGTTGGCTATCCATCTATCTATTTATGTATGATTCTGCAGCCTTTTGTTGGACCTTGGCCTCTTTTTGTTTCTTGATCTTTTACACACTCGGTAGGACTCCTTGAGCGGCGGCTCAGCTCGTCGCACACACAGGACAGCACAAACACAGAATAAAGGCAAAGAGACATCCATACCTAAATTTGAATTCGAACCTACGATCCCAGTGTCTGAGCGGCGAAGACAGTTCATGCGAGACCACTGTCATCGGCCGGCTATCCATCTAGGGACATGGAATTTGTCACGATGTCAGTAAAACCTGATATGGCTTAATGGAGGAAACAACAAAGTGTTTGCTGCTTGTCTTATTGTACGAATTTGGGGTAGCACGTGTCGATGCATTTTCAAGGTCTAACTTTAACATAATGTTAACATAAGCGTTTGATATATATGGTCCGGCATGAAACATTGAAACCATAAATACGAAGTTTATGTTCCGAGCCTAATAAAACTTGAAGTTAGAAAATAATATTTGTAAAATATGTGAAGTAAGTAGAAGTATGTAGAGGGATCCTGCACATGCACTGATATGCGTTCATGGACAGTCGCAAAGAGGTGGTCCTCCAGATGGACAATTTTGTGGGTGAATACGTTTCCTCAGAATAAAAACGAAACACTATCTTTAGACATGTTACAATGAGGGAAGGGCAGATTCCACTTGAGAGACTATGCACAGATGAGAATACAATATTAAAACGGATCTTAAAGGAATACGATCCGACTACGTTGATTGGATTCATCCGGCTCTGGGCAGGGAGACGTGATGGTTCTTGTTGCGTTTTTATTGAAGAGATTATTAGTTAACTGCATAACGAAGAACTTAAAAATTTCGGATGTTCACAAAATATTATTAGGATATTAAATCAAGGAAAATAAGATGAGTGCGACAAGTAGCATGCATGCTAGATGAGACGTGCATACAAAATTCTTGTCAATAAACTTGAAAGAAATAGATCGTCGTTGGAGGCGACGAAAAGGGAAGTCTCAAATCTGAGAGAGTAAAATATGGTCGCGAGTCCCAAGGGACTCAGACCCAAGAAAGACTGCGCTGGGGCCGTGCCATAGCTCAAGCGGTTAGTTGCTGGCTTCCCACAGCGGCGGCCTGGGTTCAAACCCGGGTCTGGTTAAGTGGGATTTGTGGTGGACAAAGTGGCTCTGGGGTAGGTTTTCTCCGAGTACTTCGGTTTCCCCTGCCAATCTTCATTCCACCAAATTCTCCATCATCATAATCACCCGGGGCAGGTGCAATAGGCCAGTCAATGGCCGCCATGCCGAGTGGACACAGTTGGACTCCACCCCCCACTAAGCGAATTAAAATATACAAGGAAACGAGAAACAACCTTCAACAGCGCAGTAAGGAATTTGAACAGGAAGATGCTGCGCGGAGAAAGAAGAAAGAGACTGCCATACATCAAGAACAACACAGCTGTGAAACGCTGATATGCCAATGTCATCAAACCTTACTGATGTTTCTGTCCATTGCTGTCACAGCAAGCACACGGTGGCGAGTTCTTACACTTTATTGTCAGACTACGTATATCACTATTAAAGAAGTTCATTCTACACTCCCTGTCTACTACATTTCAATCGTCCTTTCTCGTGACAGTTTCATGTCACAGGCAGGTAAGGCAAATAAAGTACTCGTACAGCTGTCTCTTTAATGATGGCGATTAAACACTCGCATTTGAATAGGAAGTCGATTCTATTAAGATGACATGGTCCATACGCCTCATACTTTGAAGTGTGCTGGGACAGGCACGGAAACCAAACTTGCTTGCATTAAGCAGGCTTCTTTCTTTAAGGTGCCTTTGAACAATTTTCAGAATAACTTTATCAGATAGCTTGCTTATTGTAGACAAGAGGTTAATCAGATGTAAATTTTGAGGAAATTTTGGGTCCCTGCTGAGTTTCAGTAACATAACTTTTGCTTCCTTCCAATGCTTTGGAAAATGGGACAGCCAAAGGAAGTGAATAAATGAGTGTGTCAGATGTACTAATGGTCTTCTTCGAAGATGCCTAAGGCATTCGTTTGGAATACCATCAAGTCCACACGTCTTCCTCAATTTCAATGTTTTTGCTAATTTATGTAATTCAAATGGTCCTACGTTTCCAAATGGGGTATCGTCTACAGATATGAGTAGAGCTTGGGACTGCAGTCTCCACCTGTTGCTCATGGTTTCCAACACACAGGACGTGACATGAACAAGTTTTATAAACATACCGCAATCACCATTCAACACTAACAGTATTTAAGTATATAAGATGCATCTTTAAGCGTCACACTACGCACCATATAAATATGAGGTATAAATTCGACAATTTATTATTACCGTATAATGTTAAGAGATTTTTAATTTGTAAAAAGATGGTGTATTTTTTTTCTTTTTGGTCCTTGCAGTGATAATTATCTGCAATAGACGTGTTTCTGGAAACTTTTATGTGTTATTATTAATATTACGGGCAAGGGAAAGTTGAATTTGCTTGTACCTCTGCTATGAAGCGCCTGAACTCTGTATATAGTGACAATTTTTCTAATTTTGTTCATAGAATACAAGATGCAAGGCTTTGCACTGATATATGGGACACGCCATACAGCATTGAATAATGGCAATTTTTGTCATTAATCACATATTATGCAGACCACGTTTTTTTGTTGAGAATAAAATTCGGAATTATTTCTACAGAATTCACAGTGCCCTGAAATCAATATTTTTTGAACCTGAAAAAAGTTACCCTTTTCTTATTAGCCGGTAATTATTTACACCACTTCTTACTAACAATTAATTTTACTAGAAGCACTTTACCGCCAACATAAACCAATCAACTACAAAGGAGGAAGACTACTTTTTTTAAAGGAAGTTGTAGGGAAGATAATTCCAAATTGAAGTCATTTCACGTGCTGAGCAGAGGCCGTCGAGGACATTCAAAGATTTTGAATACTCGTATATAGAGGAGCGTCCACATTACTCGTGCTCGTGCTCGTGCTCGTGTGACTCGCTATGCTCGCGAGTATTGTAGACGATATGACAAGTCACAAGACAAGCAAATTTTTAATTTTTGATTTAAAAACTATAGCCAATAAATTAAAATACGACTACAGCCCGTATACACTACGAGTAAATATACGGATCCTGACGCGCCGAAGCCTGGTGAGCAACTGAAGTAGTGTGGAAGAAGATTTACGAGCACAAGTAAAAGCCAGACAAGTCTCCCGACGAGCACAAGCCTGGCGAGCACGAGTAATGTGGACGCGCCTTAAGACAGGAACGTGATGAATGCTTCGCAACTACAGTGCCTTTGTCAGTGCACGAGTGCTCATGAATCATCTACACAGGACGAAACGTTTTACAAGTCGAATACAAATGTTCGAGCAAGGAAATACATCGAAAATAATTTGGAATAAGGAACTTTGCATCTTTATTTCTTCATATAAAACATGCTTCGGCCGTTCAAAAGAAATGCGACGCCAAGCTGCTTCTAAGGTTACAGTGTTGTGGTCAGAGCAAATATGCATAAAAATGTTCGGTAATGTTGTAGCTTTTGTACAGGTGGGGCCTGTCATCAAATGCTCCAACCATTATTTCCTAGGCAACGTTTCGTTAAACACCGCCTGAAAGCCGGAACAGCAACGAACAAACAGAAGTCCGTTTGCTAGGCAACGGCTCGCGGTAGCGTAGTTGGTTGAGGCACTATGCTACAAGCCGAAAGGTCGCAGGTTCAAGTCTCGATGAGGTCATTGGATTTTTTTTTTCAATTGATCTAATCCTTCCAGCCGCACTATGGCCCTAGGCTTCACTCATCCTCTAACAGAAATGAGTACCAGGAATTAATTAAATAAGTTTCCTGGGGAGTAAAGCGCGGCCGGCGCGTAAGGCTGACAACCTTACCGCCATCTTTGAGCCGACTGTCTGGATAATGTGGGACTCTCAACGTCTCACAACCCTATGGGCCTTCACGGCCTGGTACAGGGATAGCTTTACTTTATTACTTTAAAGCTATTCCTGTAACAGGCCGTGGAACCCCATAGGGCTGTGAGACTCACATATTTTCTAGACAGTCGGCTCACAGATGGTGGCGAGTTTAGCTTTAAACGCCAGCGGACATTTACCGTCCAGAAAGATTCCTGGTACTCATTTCTGTTAGAGGCTGAGTCAACCCCAGGGCCATAGTGCGGCTGTAAGAACTAGGTAAACTGAAAAATTCAGTAATCTCATCAGGAATGGAACCAGAGACCTGTCGGCTTGTAGCATAGTGCCTTAACCGACTACGCTACCGTGGAATAGTACGAGTACATAATTATCAAAATTTTCTTCATTACCGTTTGACCACTCGAAGACAGAAAATGAGCGTCAATCGGTACAAAGATGAAATCGAAGGAGATAACTAAACAAGGAGAACACGAGCAACCGGAAGCAAACGTCATACATTTTTAAACATGTCCTGTCCACACTGTGCACGAAGTTTCTGACGTGTATCATTCTGTCCGTAACAAGGAACACAGAAACAAATACTGTTTTTTTCGCCTTTGCTCGCATAGCAGCCGTATGTAGCAACCGAATTCGGGCACTGTACAAAAGATTTGATCTTGTCTTGCATAAGACGAGTGTCTACTTTTCCACCGATACATTTTCTCATAAACTTCTTTTAGTTTCATAACATTTGACTATTTTTCTATTATTCCTTGACCTCATATTTGTTGAAGTCTGCGCAGAGACACAGAATTTTTTATCCACCGCGTCCAGGCGGTACCCAGTGTCTCTTGGGGCCCTGTTCTAAGGAGAAATGCGGCTGGGTCATGAAGCAGCCCACTCATCCCCATTTAGGTCTAAAGTTACGAATGCGTGGATCTATACCACTACTCCCTATACGTCTTCCTGGCGCAAAGCTCAATTAAGCACAGAACACAGTCCATCTACTCCACGAACTATAATTCTTTAAAATTAATTTGAAAATTTCGTGTGCTGTGTAGGCTATCGAACGGCATTACCCTTCTTCATGATAATGCGTGCCCCCACACTGCCAACTCTGTGAGGAGCTACAGAGATTTGGTTGGGAAGTGCTTCAACATCCCCCCTACAGCCCATATCTCTCCCCATGAGATTTTCACATTTTTGGAGACCTGAAGAGAGACATTCATGGGCATCGGTTTGCATCGGACGAAGACGTGTGTGGCTGGGTGAAGATGTGGTTCCGTAGACAGCCCACAAGCTTTTCAAGGATGAGATTGACCGTCTTATCTCCCAGTGGGATAAATGTATCAAAAGCCTAATCGCCTCCAAGTCCCAATGTGTACTTACGTTAAGTTCATTCTGTTTTTTATTTTTGTACTTCCTTTCTGTGATGTATGGCGCCTTCAGGAAAGTGAGGCAAAAGAAAATTACTGTCTTCTAGGAAGTGCTAAAATGTAATCTGGCAAAACATTGATGACATTACTGAAAACCATGCTGTGTCCATGTTCAAGGTAGAGTAGCAATCCAAGAGGGGAAATAGGTACAAGGGAGCGAGAGAGTGGGCATTTGGACCGCAGTTGTAGGCGAACCAACTGAGCGGCGTTGCCAACGTTCATGGATATTCCAACACGATTTCAGTGTGTCTTATCTTGACCAGGCAATGCAACCAATTGTAGTAATTAAATCGTGGTTTAAACGTCAGGATCTGGGCTGGAAGAAACAATTCGAATTGAATGGAATTTCCTTCTTCTTTTTTTACCCTTTCTGTGCTGAACCCACACCTGTGCGGATGAGCACATTAAAGAAGACAAATAGGATAGAGAAGTGGGAAGAGAAGAAGACATTTGGTAGAAGGTGGAAAGGAGGATGAAGCGGAGAGGGTGAAAGTGAATAATAAGAACATGTAAGATAAGAAGAATAAAATCGTCGACGAAGGAGGTGGGAAAAGAGAGATAGAATCAGAATAATAGGGTGAAAATGAAGGACAAGTAGGATAAATTTTTATTCCAGTTTTCCCTTATTGTTTTTCCTTCCTTATACTCCTTTTAATTGGTGTATAAGGAATAAAATAGGAGAAGATTATGAAAAAAGAAGATAAGGAGGAAAAAGAAGTAAATTACGGGAAGAAGAGGAGAAGAAAAGAACAAACATGAGGAGAAAACGACGAACAAGAAGAATACAAGTAAACAACGTTTCTGTCCCTATGTGTGCATGGTACCCCTGCTGTTCGTAAATGCATCACGCCACAAGAAATTATTTCTTGCTCATGATTATTGTCTGCCGGTCACGGTAGCCGAGCGGTCTAAGGCGTGCACTGTCTTCGCTCGCTCGGAAGCCGGGATCGAGGGTTCGAATCACACTCAGGGCATGGCTGTTTGTGTGCGTTTTTCTGTGTTTGTCTACAGGTAGAGGCCTTGCAACGAGCTGATCACTCGCCCAAGGAGTCGTACCGTATGTGTAAGATCTAGTAAACCGAAGTGAAACGGAGAGTTTCATGGAGGTAGGCCTAGGCCCAAATTGGGGCTGTAGCGCCACAGGGAAAGGGATTATTGTCTTCTGGGATGTGAAGCCTTATAATCCGGTAGATATTTACAGATGTTTCTTTATTTTCAAGGTCGAAGAGTCTAATGATGGAGTCAACAATTTGCCCCGAAACGTCAGTAAACATCTATCATAATACATGTTGTTACATCCCAGAAAGTAGTAAAATTCATAACCACCGACCAGAATTACTGGGTTTTAGGACTTTGTCTATTGTCAGGTAGTATAAAAAATAGAGAACACAGCGTTTCGGAAATTGGATCTATTTCCGTCATCAGGTGAGTCGGATAACACATATTCTGTGACTGAGGTTAGCTCTTTCTAAGACACCGAATAAGGCGTGTTTTTACCCATTCACATGAGGACGGAAACAGATCCAATTTCCGAAACATTCTGTTTTCTAGCTTTCAGAATACCAGACGATGGACGAAGTTCAAAACCCCAGTAATTCTCAATCTCATACACCACCGTCAGAACCCTTTAGAATAACCATCGCCATTCATAGAAAACCCCAAATCTTACAGATTTCTTCGTGGTGACTGGACCCTGAAAGGGTAAATATACTCGTAATATTACCTGCGGTCGAAGGGCCCCTTTGATGACAAGGCCATGGAGACCTGTCCTTCTCTGTGCTAATGGAGCGCTGGACCAAGTAAGTCCAGAAACGGAACTCCAGTTACCAATAAGAAACATCTGCAGCGGGAGTGTGTAATGGATGTGGTACACCTCAGTGAGTGACAAGCGCAACACTCCGTCGATCGACCTAGTAGAGCTGTGAGTAACCACGATATCAGTGTCGAATGGGATGTACGTTTTGTTGAAGTTCTCCCCCAGTGACACCAGTGTGTCCAGAAACACGAGCCATTTGCCGGCCCTGCGTAGCCTCCTTGCAGACAACTGCGATACAGAATTTGGTTTTGCAACTTCATACGTGTTTTAAGAATACTCTTATTGGAGATATGACGCCTTTTACTCTAGTAGAATTTTACAGGGATTTTGGCCGAAAGTATTTTTTTCTATCTTCAGGTTCTTCTTGAATAAACCAAGCAGGCAAAATTAACAAGCAAATTTGCTTGCTTCTTGCTTGCGTGGTTTACTTTTCAAACCTGAAGACGGGGGCAGTATTTCGCTACAAATAGCCGATAAACTTCTACCAGACTACACGGCATCACATTCTGGAAGGTACTACTCTCCATACAGCCATGAGAGTTTCGGATTCTGCGATTTATGTTTTTTCTCATATTTTAAGTATCAAAGTAGCAAGTAACAGTGCTTAAAAGTACTTATTTCAAGTCCCTTGTACAGCGACCACTTCTGGCCCCAGCCCCAGATGATAGGTGAGAGGTGACTGTAGAGCAATTTGTGGAATGACGATTGGCAGGGGAAACCGAAGTACTCGGAGAAAACCTGCCCCAGCGCCACTTTGTCCAACACAAATCCCTCTTGACCAGACCCGGGATCGAACCCGGGCCGCCGCGGTGGGAAGCCAGCGACAAACCGCTTGAGCTTTGGCGCGGCCGACTAGTCGTGAAGTAACTTTGAATTGACTTAAGTTAAGGCATAACCTGCTGCACAAGCCTACAGTATAGGAATCCTCTGTAAACTTTGTATAGGTGTTACTTAGTATAGTGCAGCGACAAAGTATGTACAGAGTCCTTAATAACATGGTCGCCGTGTCAGCGTGGATATACTCGTGCTGAAACTACGATGCAACAAATACAAAGGCCGACATTCCGCCGAAGACGAAGCCCCATTCGAAACAAATCTCGGCCATAGAAGTCGAGTAAACCGTAGCCAGGAAGGCCGGGAATAACTATGTTTGCAAAGACCAGCAGCAATTTAACTGACCGATCAACCGAGCAAATTGTCAACCTCTGCTATCAGCATACTCCATACTATAGTTATTACAAGACCGCTGTGATCTGCAAGAATATAAACTGCGTCGTATGAAACCTATGAAACGTACGAAATTTATTTACCTGATGTTGGCAAGAATGCATGGCGTGGACAATTGGACTGTAGTTGTCCAAAACATAGGACTTGAAAGATGGCGGATGCAGCTGCGAGGCAGTTGCAATATGAGTATAAAGCGGTAGGTTTTTAACAATATGGTAGTATTTAATAATTCTTATATAGCAATGAGTATACAGTTGTATTTGTAGCATATTGTATCTGGCGTATACTTGTTCAGGTAAGTGGGTGGTAGTAATATGCTGTCGTTGTGGAGCTCTGAATTTGAGTGTTTTGTATATTATTCTTTATACACGAGTTTGAATAAATTTTATTATTGAAGTTTAGAGGATGGTATATGTTTTCCTGCGTTTTCAGAATTCCAATCTTGTACTACAAGCAGATGTTCGCCTTATTGAGCGACGTAGTCGAGATGAGGCAACAGGCGAGGTTATGTCCCTTGTGGGGAAACTGGACGGTACCCGAATGGGTGATAGGCATCAAAGAACACGTCCAGTAAAAGCAGCGGAAAGAAAGGCGAAGTATGTTTGTTATTTAAAGTTAATGGTATACAAATATATAGTGTATATACTTGCATGTTAGGTAGCTTGGATGTTAGGAGGATGAATTGAAGCAAGGATGCAATCATGGCTGCTGAAGATGAGGATTCTTTGATGAGAGGTTGAAGTTTGTATCTTTCCAGTGCTAAAGCAATCAAGGTGTCATATATAGAGAGGGAAAAATTAAACTATTCTGAAACTTCATATGATGTTATTGTAGAAAGTGGAAAGAAATGGAGGAAGCTTCCATAGTATGCGTGAAGTATGAGACTGCTGAGAATGAAGGTAAAGCTGTCCCTGTGCTTAATTAATTAGGCACTATGCCATGAAGGTGTGTATGAGTGCATGCACAAGCCCACATTTTCTTGATCTTGGCACTAGTTTGAGGTGAGTGGTCAGCTTCACGCCCCGGCCGCTTTACCCCCAGGGAAAGATCCCTAGGTACCCATTGAATGGGATGTTGGGTGGGATCCCAGAGTCGGTCTGGACAAGTTGAAGAAATAATACTTGACCCTACCGAGTCAGCCCATAGGCAGTCGCTATACAGACAATCCTGGTTCCAAAGAATGAAGGTACTATGAGGAAAAGACAAAATTATGCAGTTGCAAAGCATCATGCCTATTAATATTTTTGCTTGACATTTACATAGTGAAATTGAATGGATTGACATAGCAGTAACGCTATAGACTTATATGTAGGGGGTTTTTCAGTTTGAATCCTGGCCAGGACTCCAGCTATCCCAATAGGATTTTAGCTTTCCTCAGTTCCTCCAGGCAGTTGCCAGGATAGACCCACAGTTAGGCCACAACTGCTTCCAGTTCATTGATCTGTCATTCTTTCATGTGACACCATTTAGTCTAGCTACTGAGACCATCATAAAACAGCCTACAAAAACAAAAGAAATCTAAATTAATGTAAATTTGAAGTCTCGTGTAACATAAATTTAAACTGATTATTATTAATAATGATTAATTATTAATAAAGAAACTGAAAAAGGATAGGCCCAGATAATATAGCCGAATGGAAAGTGGGGAAAATCAAAGTAACTANATACTAAGGAAGTAGTAGAAGTATTCAATAAATACTTTATAACTGTAGCTGAGAATCTGGAAACGAAAAGTGCCAATAAAAATGAAGCTATTAAATTCTTAGACACTTTGAAATTTAATAAATTCCCTGAACTGAGGCTAATACCTACAACGGAGGTGGAAATAAAGAGCATACTTATGTTGCAAAAATCAAAAGATTCTACAGGATATGATGGTATTTCTAGTAAGATATTGAAATATTGTATAACTGAGATAAGTAAACCATTGTGTCACATATTTCATGCATCTTTTGAGCATGGAATATATCCTGATAGAATGAAATTTGCCTCATCAAGACCTATATACAAAACAGGTGAGAAGGCAATTATGGTAAACTATAGACCATAACTAATCATATTTTAGAAACGTTGGAAAGACACAATCATTCATTAGGAATTTTTTGTGATTTGACAAAAGCATTTGATTGTGTGAGTCACGATATTCTTTTGAGTAAATTAACAACATATGGCATTGGTGGTAAAATGAAAATATGGTTAAAGTCCTATCTGGAAAATAGAAGACAAGGAGTTGAACTTTATAATAATGAGAATGGAAAATGCTGTTCAGACTGGGGAACTGTCAAATATGGAGTGCCACAGGGCTCGATTTTGGGTCCTCTGTTGTTCCTTTTATATATTAATGACCTGCCGTCAACATTAACTGCTGACAACAAGTCATTATTGTATGCCAATGATACAAGTATATTAGTGTCAGTTATTAATATCAATGAAATTCAAGAAAGATCAAACTTATGTTAAATTCCTTAAGTCAGTGGTTTAAATACAATGGCTTATCCCTAAACTTGAGGAAAACTAAAGTGTTAAAATTTGGAACAGTCAATCATGAAAATATGCATGTACATTAACGATGAATTATTACAACAGGAAACGCATATTAAATTCTTGGGCATTGAAATTGATAAGTTCTTGAATTGGAAGACACAGGTTGAATCATTGTTACCCAGATTGGGAAAGGCATGTTACGCAATACGAATTATGAAAACATATAGTAATGTTACAGCACTTAAAATGATACATGGGTCATTTCATAAATAGTGCACAGGTTGGCAACACTGCGGATTAGATGATGCAAAAACAGTGAGCCTCATGTCACTTACAGTTCAGGGCTTGAGAAAGAAGTGCATTATTTTATTTAATTTATAATGTACTCTGTTCTTAAATAACATGAAGTAGAAGTGGAGCCTGGATGGTTCTCAGGTATTGTGACTGTTGAAGATCAAAGGTCGTACATTAAGATCGAAACTTTACCTGGAAAAAAACTGACAGAATTCCACAGTGCTTTAAGTGAAGTTTGTGACGAGTTAACAGTGGACCGTAGTACAGTCTCTCACTGGGCTAGTCGTTTTCATGGCGGTCGTGTGAGCATAAACGATGATCCAAGGCCAGGAAGGCCGAAAACATCAACAGATGAACGAAGTGTCAAACTTCTGTCAGATGCTCTTGAAGATGCATGTCGTGCGACATGCGAGGAACTTTCTGAAACCACGGGGATTCCACCAACGTCAATATTCTGAATTCTGACAAATGATTTAAAGAAGAGAAAGATTTCTGGGTGATGAGTCCCTCACTGCTTGACTGCTGAACAGAAGCAAAAATGCCTTGACATTGCAACCTTGCTGAAACAAAGATTCGATGTTGAAGGTCAAGCATTCTTGTATCGACTTGTCACTATTGATGAAACGTGGGTTAGAGACTTTGAACCAGAGCTGAAATCACAGTCCAACGAGTGGAGAGGTCCAACTTCCCCATGACCAAAAAAATTTTGATGATCTCAATCAAAGGTCAAACAAATGATGATGTTTGCTTATGATCACCAAGGAATCATCATGACAGACAGAGTTCCGTGCAGGAAAAGTATCACAGCAGTTTATTATCGTGACTTTATGCAAAATCTGCGCAGAAAAATGCACAAAAACTGACCTCAGTTGCTCGAGGCTGGGCCGATCATTCTCAATGACAACGCTCACCCACACATCCAGAATGTCGTAACAGAAAAGCTGCGCCAATATGGTTGGGAGGTGTTGCCTCATTCTCCCTACAGCCCGGATATGAGTCCACCAGACTTTGACTTATTCCCAAAGTTGAAACAACCTATACGAGGCCGTCGTTTTCCCTCTCTGGAAGAGCTTTCTGCTGCAGTTACCCGAGCCATTCGACAGATAAACAAAGATGGTGTCCTGGATGGAATAGTAAAGCTTCCCACACATTGGGACTCTGTCATTGAGAAGCAGAGGGACTATATTGAAGGACTGTAAAGCGATATTAAAAAAATAAACATGGACGTAAACAGATAATTGTGTGCATTATTTCTGAAATGACCTACGTATATCATGCCTACTTTCATTCACTCATGAGATATGGAATAGTTTTTTGGGAGTAATTCGTTAGAGGCCAAGAAGATCTTTCTCTTAAAAAAGAAGACTATTGGAATAATAATGGGGATGAAACATAGAGAGTCATGTAGGCCAGCATTTATAAAGTTAAATATATTAACACTGGTCTCTCAATATATTTTGTCTCTGATGACTTTTATGATAAATAACTTGGAGTATTTTACTTCTAATTATTCAATTTATGAGAGACCGACAAGACACGAAAGAAATTTACGTGTCCTACAATCACATCTCGCAGTGAGGCAGAAAGGGGTCCATTGCATGAGTATAAAAATATTTAACAGTCTGCTTGATTATTTAACTGATTTAGTACATGATAAAAAACAGTTTATAAACGAAATAAGGGATGTCCTAATACATAATCCGTCATGTACTGTTGATGAATTTTTGCTCTTCTGTCGGGATCAGCAGCTAAGGAATAGAAGGGGAGTGCATGCTGACTGATGGATGTCCCACAATAGACATCAATATGGACATTAAGTGTAAATATAATCTGTGTTTTATGTATTTATTTAGATGCACGTTGTTTGCATTTATGTTTGTTATTGTGATATGGCATGTTGGAATTGTAAAGCTTGTGACATGTTTCATATTCAGTGCTGATTGCACTTATGAATATCCTGAAACACAGATGTATGTATGTACTGAGAATTAAGGGAACATTTCTGCAGTTTATGAAGAATAACACAACTTGGCCTAATTTAATCTAACCTAGGAAAATGTGAAGAAGGTAGGTTTTTGAAATGGTCACCATTATTCAGGTTCCTACAAAAACTTTGTATGCATTTGTTTTCACTCATGTGCTACACATCCATCCTCTCTCATTCACTTTTGTTTGATCATCAGTATTATTAAATGAACCATAGATGAGATGGTAGAATGAATAAATAAATAAATAAATAAGTAAAATGGAACTTTTGTGTTTCTGTAAAGATTTGTAACAAGGATTGATCCATTATATCATTGAATATTATGTGGGATATTATCTGCTTTCTGAGGCATGTTTGAAGGAGCCTAGGTAGTGTAGTTGGTATAGCGACTGACTACAGGCTGGACAACTGAGGGATCGGAGTTTGAGTCCCAATAGGGCCAAGAATTTTCTCTTCTCCAAATCATCCAGACCAGCTCTAGGGTCGACCCAACCTCATATCCAGTGCCTACCAGGGGCTCTTTCCATAGGGGTAAAGTGTCCAGGGCCTGAAGCAGACCACTCACATCCAACTAGTGCCAAGGTCAAGAAAATGTGGATCTATACATCCACTCCCCCATACACCTTCCTGGCATAGTGCTTAAATTCGTTGAGCACGTAGAAGAACTTCCCACCCCATCTTTGCAATTGCTCCCAATGTGAGGCGAGTGGCGTGGGGGCAGGCGTTGTCATGCAGGATGATGATTTTTCGTCCCAGGCGTTTATCGCGCAATACACAGCAGAGCTTGTGCAGCGTCTAGACATAACGAGCAGCATTGATGGTTTGCCCAGGTTCCAGGAATTTGATCAGAATAAACCACCTCTGAATCTCAGAAGACTGTGCCCATCACCTTTGCAGCTGATGACACTGTCTTTGCTTTCTTTTTTGATGGAGAATGCAAATGGTGTCATTCCATACTCTGCCGTTTCGTTTCAGGCTCGAAATGGTGAAAGCAGCTTTCGTCACCTGTCACAATACAGAGCAAAAAATCATCACCTTTGTGTCGATATTTGTGCAGCAGTTCTGAGGTGATGGCTTTTTGCTGACCTTTGTGGTCTTCGGTCAATAACCGCGGGACCCAGCGAGCACAAACTTTCCTATAGTCCAAGCTTTCAATCATCTCCTGTACTGGACTGTGCCCTGTTCCAAGTTTTCGGGCTATTGTGTCCACAGTCACACCCCTGTCATCTTGAATGATCTCATCCACTCTTTCTTGTTGCATTCAGTTGAGGCTGTTCAAGGACGACCGCTCCGAGGGTCATCTTCAATGCTGGTGTTCCATCTTTAAAATGTTTCACCCATATTTGAACACTGCTTGCACCGATGCACACACTTCCATAAGCACGCTGAAGTCTCTGGTAAATTTCTGCAGCAGCGATTTCCTCTTTCACAAGAAATTCAATGACAGCACGCTGGCAAAACGACATATCATTGCTGACCATTTTGTTAGGAGTGATCCTGGTCACGTGATGCAAGCTGTTGATGTCACAAGACACTCAAGGTTAACACAAGAGCTGGTTCCACCTACCACCATACTCTCTTTCATCTGCTGTTCCCAGGTTGCATGCAAAAAAAGTTGCTCATGACTTTCGGTACGATCTACGTATGTTATCAGTTATCATTATGTTATGATATGTATCACAGTATGGGAACTTACTTACTTACTTACTTACTCACTCATGGAGCTGAGCCCTTCTTGAGGAGCCACCAATTCTGCAGCTACTCAAGAATTTCCCAGCATTTTATGGAACCCGAAGGTTCATTACCGTGTTCACAAGAGCCCTCCACTGGTCCCTATCCTGAGCCAGATCTATCCAATCCATACCATCCCATCCTGTCTGTCTAAGATCCATTCTAATATTGTCCACCCACCTACTCGTTAGTCATCCATGTGGTCTCTTTCCTTCCGGCTTTCCCACCAATATCCTATAGGCATTCCTTGTCTCCCCCATTCATGCTACATGACCTGCCCACCTCATCCTCCTTGACTTGATAATTCTAATTATACTTTGAGAAGAGTACAAGTCATGAAGCTCCTCATTATGCTGTTTTCTCCAACTTCCTGTCACTTCATCCCTCTTCGGTCCAAATATTTTCCTCAAACACCCTCAGTCTATCTTCCTCCCTTAATTTCAGAGACCAAGTTTCACACCCAAACAGAACAACAGTATGGGAACAGGGGAAATAAATACAGAGGGAGGAATGAGAAACATGAAGTGTACATTAATCCACGTATTTTTCAATTATTTCAGACGTCAGAAACGAGATGAAGCCCAGTATGATTTTACCAGAATGAAAGGAGCCACACTACTATCTGAGGGTGTAGATGAAATGGTGGGCATCTTGTATCGTCCCAAGACCCAAGAGACCCGTCAAACATATGAAGTTCTGCTCAGTTTTATTCAGGAGGCTTTAGGTGATCAGGTATGCTTTTAAGAATCTGGTTTATCAGTGAAAGTGAAGTGTAATGTGCAAATTGGTTGCAGCACCATTAATGTAATGAGCAGTTCAGGGTTCTTATGTGACAACATTTTGTTGGAAAGAAGACTTCACGGCTTATTTTAGGCAGTTTTGCAAGAGTTCATGCTATAGTAATTAATTTATAAGTATCAGCAGTATCTCTGTTACAGTCGTTTAACACCCTCTGTTTTTGTTTGTGTGTCTGTGTTTGTTACTGTTTGTTGGCTTATGCGCTAATGGTGAATTGGCTTGCATAAATGTGTCCATGCCTTCTGAAATTTTATACACTACAATTTAACATCATATTCCAATTTTGGTTGAAACCATGCAAATATAAGGACACATACAAGCTTTGTTACTGTAACTTACTGAATATTTATCAGAACAAAATAAATTTTGAGCAAAAGTTTTAGAGAAAAGTGAAACACATTTTCTTTCCAACACCATTTTTCCATAAGGCTTCCAATTTTTTTTAGATAATTGAATTAAAGGGAGAAAATTCTTCGGGGTTGTTACATTATGCTTACAGTGCCAAACTTGTAACCTTGTACAGTAGAACTTGGTTATAATGTCATCAAAGGGACCTAAATATAGTGTCGTTATAAACAAATGTCGTTGTAACTGAAATGGGCACTTCCACAGTAGCCTTATGTTAGTCACGTAAAAATCTACCAAAAACCGAGTTAAAATGTTGCATTTTTTAGTGAAATACATAGTTAAGTACAGACTAATGTAACATTAACGTGGAATTGCCCAAATGTGTAATATCAAAGACATATTACAGCGCTTTTCACTGACAATACACACAATATTTCACGAATCACTATAACTTTCTCTTCAATGCTTAAAACTTTCTTTTTCATTGCCATTTTTTCGCTACTGCACTTCTCTGGGTTTAGTCTGGAACACTACAGGGTAAGTAGACAATGTGAGGTCCTGTTAGACGAGATTCTAGGAAAGGAATGCAGTTAACAACCTGCTGCGTCCTCTTGCACTATTCACGCAGTCCCACCCCACACCTTGTTTTCGCATAAAACCCACGCTCCTCTTGCAGCCCGCGGTCGTATTCTTCCAGGACAGTCACGTCAGCAAGTAGAGAAAGTGAGGGTGGGCAGACACATCGAACTTTCCCACGATATCAGAGAAATTCAGGAATGAAAATGATGTTACATACGAGGTTGATGCATTTGTGCATGTCGTACTAAGCAAGGTATAAAAACAGTTGTTTTATGAGGAATTAGTTCGTACCATTGAATATTTGACGCAATAGACAAGGTGTCACAGAAACCGATGTTGCTATAACCAAGTTTTACTGTATATTCAGTAATCAGTAATGGCCTTCAAAAAACACACAAGGAACTCTTAAGTTTGTTAATTGCTACTGATGGTTAATGAAAGCTTCCTGAAACTTAAATTTATAGATCTAATGAACAGGCACATTTGCATCCTCCAAATGAAAATATTACTTAGAAATAAATGTGTTCACTGCAATTATTTGGTTCATTAATATGGGCATAGAAAATATTTGTGTGAGAATTGCTCTTCTTTGCAATACAGCAATACCTCGCATAGTCCGGGTAATCGGTTCCAACAATATCCAGGACTGTTTGAAACTGGACTAGTCGAACTAAATACGTACAAAAGATGATAATTGGTTAAAAAAATTCTCTGTTTTTCAATAAATAAAACGTGATTAATAAATTCAAATGTCTTTATTATAAATAATTTTAAAAAATTCATGTTTTTCGCAATTCATTGTTTATTCTCTAAAAATTTCAGTATTGATGATCTCCACATTTTTCTTCTTTAGCCTTTTCTCTTCATACATTTCTTTGTAGTAATGAATTGCATTGTTTATCATTCGGCAAATTGTAAGGCTACATTCAGTACTGGGATCAGCTTCTATAATATGCTCTGACAAGGTTTTAACCATTCCAGTAATTTTTATAGTTCTGCTGTTAATTCTTGTGCAGGTACTTCAACACAGTCGTCGTCTAAGTTGTCCTCCTGTTCTTCATAAGCCCGTTGTTCATCTATGTTAATACGTGTTTAATTATCTAGTTCATTAGTGTTCGATATGATGCACTCAATTACGTTGACGGAATCTAACACATTGAAACCACGTTGCTGTCCAATTTCCACTATGTTATTAGCGACTTCAGCAAAATGAGTTTCAAAACCAATGAAATCATTTGCACAATGTGATATGATATGTTTCCATACTGCCCTCATATTGCTTGATGTTAATTCATGCCATGCTTTGCCTATATTTTTGATAACGTTTCTGATGTTATAGCTCTTCCAAAATTCCATTAAAGTAGTGCTCTCTCCACCTCATCCAGCGATAGCTGTCAGAGCTCAAGAACGAACGACCCGAGCATAGGTACATGCATGTACAATGAGGAAACCCTCTTTCTGAAATAAGATTCAAGCCATAGTTTAGCTTTACCCTTTATCCCATAGAACTCCAATTTTGACAACAGAACCTCATGATTAACACAATCGAAGGCCTTTTCTAGGTCACAAAAAATGCATCCTAATAAGTTTTTGCTGTTTAAGGTCTTACAGATTTCATTCACTAACTTGTATATAGCCTCATCTGTTGAAGATTTTGTTCTAAAACCAAATTGTTCTTCCACTAAAATGTTATTGTTATTTAAGTGCTCAATCAATTGAATGCTCATAGCTTTTGCTAATACCTTAGAGAACGAAGTTAAAAGTGATATAGGCCTATAGTTGGAAATATTTGTTTTTTCACCCTTTTTAAACAGTGGTCTTATTTCTGAGTATTTTAAACGATCTGGGAAAATTCCTTGTGATAATTAATTGTTGCATATGCGAGTCAAAGGAGAGCTAATGAAAAGGGAACTCATTCTTAATACTTTAGTGGATATTTCATCATATCCATAAGACTTTTCTTTGAGAGATTTCAACTTCCTTAGTTGATAAAGATTTAAGTTTAATATGTGGAAAGGGATTTATAAAAGTTTTCATTAAATACTGAATGGGAGTAGTGTCTGGAAAGTAACAAATATTAGTATTATTTTGTTTATTTTTTGCATTTTTATTTTCAGCTACAGATAAAAAGTAATTGTTAAAGGTTTCTGCAATTACTTGCTTTTCTCTAATCCATTTTCCATCCACCTTCAATGTGCATATTTTTTCATTATTTGGCCCCTTAGTTTCTAATTTTACTATATCCCATATGGTCTTATTTTTATTTTTGGAATTTTGAATTTTGTTATCATATTTTAGTTCCTTTAGCTTCCTTAATGACCTTAGATAAAATTTTACAGTATTTTTTATAATAGTTTCTTAATTCTGAATTATTACTGTTTCTACATGCCATATAGAGTACTCTTTTATGCTTACAGGATGTTTTGATGTTCTTATTCCTATAGTAATCCAATCACTTATTTCATTTGATTTTTTTTTGGGGGGGGGGGAACTGGAATAGTAAATTTTCAAGTAAGTGTCTAAAAAGGAGTTAAACATTATATTAACATTATCGCTAGAACATGTTGAGTCCCATGTTTCATAACTCAGTTTAATTAAAAAGTCATTTATTGTGTGTTTGTTTATTTTCCTTATTATTTTAAATTGTTTAGCATGTGTTCTCATGTTTATTGTTTTAAATATTATGGATTGTGCATCATGATCAGACAATCCATTTATTTTAGGCTTTACAGAATAATTGTCCCTTCTAGTAATATCGATGAATATATTATCATTGGCTGTAGCAAAATTTCCTTGAACTCTGCTGTATATTATTTTGTAAGGTTTTCTTGAAAGTAGTAATTTTGTCTCACAGCCTCGTGACATCTTGTGTGGAGCTGCAGATGAAGTTTTGGCGGTGCTGAAGAATGATCGCCTGAAGGAACGGGAGAAAAAACGTGAAACTGAATCATTGCTTGGGAACTTGGCTGAAGAAAGATTTGCACTTCTTGTGAATCTGGGGAAGAAAATAACTGACTTTGGCACAGAAGAGAAAGTTACAACAACAGGTCAGTTTGTTATGTATTTACTAAGCTTATAACATAATATGCGTATATAAAATATTCATCCAAGCTATTGTACAGCTTAAGTTTGGGGTCATACTTATATTTGCTGCCAAAATCAGTTTATGAGGAAGACTTTAATTCTGCCAGTATGAATGAAGTCAGTTTAGCACATTGTTTGTTGTAATCTGAATATCAGGATCTTCTAAAAGTATCATCATTCAATTTAAAACTGGGATAGCACAGTCAGTATAGTGACTGGCTATTGGCTGGACAGCCAAGGGGTCAGAGTTTGAGTTCTGGTACAGGCAAGGTTTTTCTCTTGTCCATGTCTTCCACACTGGCTCTGGGGCCCACATAGCTTCCTATCCAGTGGGTCCCAGGAGCTCTTTCCACAGGAGTGAAGTGACCATGGCATGAAACTGACCAGTCCTGTCTAGTGCCAAAGGTCAAGAATACTTGAATCTGTTCATCCACTCCCCCATACGCCTTCATGGTGTAGTGCTTAATTAAGCATATGGACAACTTTGCTTTGATTTCTTCCAAGTCATCCATCATTTCACCTTCTGGCGCAATTCCTTAAGTGCAGTTCACATTCTGAGACAGCCACAATCTGAGTCCCAGGAACATTTAATAACAATTGATCATATGCAGATAATCATCAACCAAACCAATTTATATGCATAACAACAAATTACAGTGGAGCTTCTAAAACCAGGCACAAAACTGTGACATAGTAGTGAATAACGGTGGCCTCTAATAGTTATGGTACCATTTTAACCAGGGCAGTTGCCACAGTTATAAGTACCTCTGTATGTGTGGCACATCCTTTTGATTCATGGTCCTGTGATTGCAAAAATTTAAAAGCTTAAAACAGGGGGAAGTGACTTCTCGATTGAAGCAGGATGTGCTTGACCTCAGCTTTCAAGGAGAGCTATCTATAAATATGGTGTAACTTGCCCACATAACAGAAACAGCAGATTTTTTTTAGCAAAGTGGCAGGCACAATAAGCATGAGGCCAGAGAGCATATTGATCACACATAGCTGTTCATAATGAAATTTCTAATGTTTTATAAATAGTTTGTCCCATGCCAAAAAATACCCTCAAGGGCAACTGAATGGGATAATGGAAAAGCACAAAAACAAACTCCGTGGCCTGTAGTCCAGAAGCAAGCTATACAGACCGAGCGACTGCCACTTGTTGGCGAAGTTAGTGCCAACTTTAGCAGATAGATGGTATTGCATGGTCAGTGCAACGAATCTTCACAGCCTTTAATTTCGATTTTCTAGACTGGAGCCGCTATTTCTTTCAAATAGCTCCTCAGTTATTCTCACAAGGCTGAGTCGACCCCGTTCCAGACCCACTGCTTGTCAGAAAATTTGGTAGTGCTGGGAATCAAATGCAGGACCTCTGGATATGTAGGCAGGAACTCTGACCACTAGACAACAGAGGTGGTGAACGGAAAACCACAAACTCATTTAAAATGCTGCCTCAAGAGGTGATAAGGTATCCATCAAGATGACGATTGTGTGTTGCAAAAAGAGCATCAGGAGGAAAAGAAGGATGTTGTGTCCCGTGTATGGACTTCCTTTCTGTCTTGACAGTTGATGTACTCTCTGTGACACTGACTAGGTCTAATAAAGATAAAGTAAAATTTTCATTATCTTTTTCTTTTCCATAATTGGTGAAATATTATTTTTCTTCTGATAGTGCAAAATACCATGCCTGTATTTGAAACACTAGCATTTAAAGGTAGTCCTGATTTTTCAAGCCTCCATGAGCCTAGTGATAAGCAATCTCTTTCACAGTTTTTGAGTACATCTTTTACCTTGGTGCTAGGCTCTTACTTTACCATGCCCTTGAACATCAACATTTTATTTACTGAGGAATGCTGGAATATTGCAACAAAAACTATCAGTTTAGAGCATCAGTTTACTCTCCTTTTTCACAGCATTTACATTTTGATAGTTTCCAGCTTTTTTCGATTGAGCCTCATCGATGACTTGATTTAGTACGCCGAATGTATTTCTCGATAACTGGAAACTGTTTTGTCACCTGTTTCCTCCTCTTCAAATTTCCTTTAGATGCATGGTTTCAGCCACATTCATTTGCTTGAGGTTCTTGAAGACACATATCCTGTATTCCTTTACTTTGCAGAACATATATTGTTGCATGGAGTGTTGATATATCCTCAGGCAGCTTTCCAGCAACTTTATATTGAAGATATCTGGTTCTTACATAATTTTAAATGAAGGCTTATGATTTTTGATCACCTATTAGGGATGCTAATATTTGATTTATACAAGGATTGGATAAAAAGTAGTGGCAACACTGCTGTAACATGAAGGATGTGCATCAGGTGGCACTAGCGCCATCTATAGCTGATACCAGAAGTCCAGTTGAAGTAGTGCAGTGAGTGGTTCTGGTTGAGTTTGATTCAGTTTCATTTTGCATCATCTTAAAGTGCAGGAGGCCAGTTCAAGCACCCTAACAACATGTTATTGAAACAAGAACAACGCTCCTGGATAAAAATTGAAGTTGCACGAGGTCATGGTGCACAAAACTGTAATCAGGGACTGCAAGAAGCGTGTGGTGATGCTGCTTTGCCATATCACACAGTGGCACATTGAGTGAAATTGTTCCGTGAAGGGAAGGATGCCATTCAGGACAACCCCTTGTTGACAACCACACAATTCATCTTCTTCTTTGCTGGATGTTGATCACCGATGGGCTGGGCAGGAGTTAGCTGCTGAGGTAGGCATATGTCACAAATCCATGCTCCACATTCTGCACAATATTCTTGGATAGTGCAAAATTTCAGCGCATTGGGTACCCCATACAATGTCTGAGGTGCAATAATGTCAACATTGTGCAATTGCACAGGACTTGTTGGACCAGTACCAGAGGGAAGGTGATGACTTACTTGGAAGGAACACCACTCTGGACGAAACTTGGGCTCGCTCATATGAACCACACTTGAAGCGACAATCAAATGAATGGAAGCATCCTGGCCCTCCTCGTCTAAAGAAAATGTGCCCTACACAGGGTAATGTGAAAGTGATGTTCATTGTGACATATGACATTTATGGAGTGATACTGCACCACACTCTACCTCAACAACAGACAGTAAACGCTGCCTACTGCTGCAATTTCCTGCATAATCATCTTCATCCAGAACTCAGGAGAAAGTGACAACACTTGTTGGCAACTATCCCCATCAGTCTTCATGACAATGCAGAAGGGCTCATACTGCTGACACTGTCAAGGCTCTCCTTCGCTGCTGGTGATGGGAGATACTACATCATCCGCCATACTCACCCGATATGAGTCCTTTTGATTATGATCTCTGCCAAAATGAAAGAACAACTGCGAGGGATGCATTCAACACAAGAGAGGAGATTATTTGTGCTGTAGGGCGGTTACTGCTAGACATCGACAGAAGTGGACGAGCTGATGGTGTACGACGCCTTCCATAAATTTGGCAGAATGTGGTACACATGGGGGGTGATTATATTGAAGGAATGTGTGTTTACCTCAGGTAATATAGTCATTTCAGAACTATAGAGGTGTTGCCACTACTTTTTATCTGACCTTTATATTTCAAATTTCTTGAAAAGGAGAAGTCGTATTTTAGGAAAATGGCTGCTACATACTATCAGTTTCTGAATTGATCAGAAAGGTGTGATAACATTTTGATACCAGTTCCAGTTGTTTTTATGTATTCTTTATGTAAGTGCACAAAATGAACACACAGTAGGAAAGGTACATCAGTTTGTTTAAGTGTTTCATCCCCAAAGCTACTGAAATTAAATTTGCTGTTGTCTGTATCAAAAGTTGTTGAAATTTATTGAATCTGAAGTTCTCATGGCAGTGAGTATGAAGAATTCGGTCTTCTGATTGCAACTGCTCATAGTTTGTGAAGGGCCCCATGTTTGAGAGGAACATATTGCCTCTGCCTTCAGGGTCAAAAAGTGAGCCAAGCAGGAAACCAGCAGAAGGTTGGCTTGCTCTTTGACCCCACAGATGGAGGTGATATGTTCGTACAAAATAACAGATTCCTTCTGAGTTACACAGCATTACAGCCCAGAAGACTATACTCTTGTTTGATTTTAATTTTGGTTCATATTGGTCTCATGTATATAACTCCTATGTTACATGATATTCAAATTGAACTTTATACATTTTTTCAAAGAACAGCAGATCACTGTAAACACAAAACTGATATGTGACATTCATTCATTAATTTCCTTTATTTTCCATATATCCATATGGGTAACAAACCTAGGATATGGAAATGATCCCTTTGGAAATAGATATATCAAGATACATATACAAAAATGACACAAGTCACATAATCAAAATCACTTATAACAATCAATTGACATAAATAATAATATAAAGTAAAAATGTAATAAGATAATTTAAAAATAACTTACTATAAAACTTGAATTAATACAGTTTTATTTGAATTACCTATATTAACTGAATTAAATACATTACAAATTTACACACTTGTGACCAATTATGTTGATGAATGAATGAATGTATAAGGGATGGGCCTTCTCGGCCCTTGCACCGTGACCTACAGTGATCTGTTGTGCTTAATTATGTTGATGATATTCATTCATGGAATAAAGAAAATAAGTAAATAAATAAAATATAAATCTCATTAAGATCTACAGGAATGAATTATGTAAGTTAAGACCATAATCTAGGAATCTGTAATGTAATTAGTTCTGCACTAGTATCTGCAATAAATGAACATCAGACCAGCAAAGTGTGAAATATAACAAAATACATTTGGAAAATATAAGGCAATTCAAAATTAGCTGCCTGCTTAAATTAAAACTGTATTTTATTCCTTTGATGCTGTTATTTCGACTGTAGCATACAGTTTGCTTCTGTTCACTGCACAAAATATATTGACTTAGGTTTAACGTGCATGTTGAACATGTATGGTATATATATGTATACTGTATATTTTATTTATTAACTTGACCTCATTCTCACCCACAGGCTTTCATTTTCAGTTATGAATTTTCGTAATTGACAATGGTATGCCAGATAATGCCTTTCTTTCACTCACATTGAGAGAAGATGTGAGTACAAAATGACTGTTATACCATGTGATCATTGTCATTTGCTTTCTAAAACAGATCATTCATTAACACTCCCAACCTTGTTCTCTGTGACATGCTGAGGTTATGGCTAGCACAGTGAGTCAGTATGTGTGGACTATGAACATACACCTTTACAGTTTTGATGCTTTCTTCTTGAAGTCTTGGTTTGCCAGTTTACTGTTTAAGTCACTAAGAATAAGCTGGTTTGCAACATAGTTCTTGTGCCACTCAAGCACTGAGTACTTGAAGGGGGGATACTTACCACAATGTGCCCTGAATTTATGTTGTAATCATTTCTTCAAACCAAACACACTCTGAACTCTTGTCACACCTATCATTTTAATTTTCACTGTTAATACATAGGTAGGCTGAAAAGTAATGCACACATGCTTGTAGAGTGCGAACAAAATGACCTTCAGAAGCGTGCCAGGTGGCATGTGGAAGTAACATTCCCCCTCAATACGAATGTGCAGGTTTGAGGTTGTTGTGTTCATCCAGTGTATTTCGAGAAGCGGAAGTATGGAGACGTGTTCTAGTGCTATGTCAACGCGAGTTAAACAGCATGCTGTTATCGAATTTTTAACTGCTGAAAAAGTGACTCCTACTGAGATTCATCATCGTTTAAAGGCTGTTTATGGTGACGATGCTGTTGATAGATCTACTGTAAATCGATGGGTAATAAAATTTCGTGGTTGCAAGCCTGGAAAAGCCATAATTGTTGGTGAAACATGCAGCAGACGTCTGATAAGTGCCACAGACGATAATCATTGCAAACTCGTCGACGATTTGATTCAAATGACCGGCAAATCACTCAAAAGCGTATCGCAAACCATATTGGAATATCCAAGGAATGTGTCGGCTTCATTATTGAACAGTTGGGATACCGTAAAATCTGCACGATGGGTACCACGCCGTCTCACAGACGAGAACAAACAGCGTCAATTGGAATGCTGCGAGCAACTTTTGCAGTGCTACCGTGACAAAGAAGCGGCCTCCGTAGCCTAGAGGTAACGTTCCCACCTCATGACTCGTGGTACGCGGGTTCAAACCCGGCGGAGGTCGTGGAATTTTTAAGGGCGGAAAAATTCAGGGAACAAGTCCTCTGGGAGGGACTTTAAGCCATGGGTCCCGTGTTATAGCTTTACGGCACATAAAAGAACCTCATATCTCCTAAGGAGGTCACTGAGCCAAATTCAAGGACATTTCCCGCCCAACAGTAGTCTCTAACGCCTCTGATAGATGGGGGAAGCATTATAGATACCGCTAAGCCAGTAGAGGCCGAACTCACTGGCTCAGTCAGGACTGATGGTACGCACCAGTATCGGTAGGATATAGAGACTGGCAGAATATCATAGAGGGAAGCACAAGGGACCTATACTGGTCTAAGTGCATGGGGAAACCCACCCTCTCCAATAACTAACTAACCATGACGAAGAAGATGACTTTCTTTTGAATATTGTGACAGGGGACAAGTCATGGGTCCATCGTTACAACCCAGAAGAGAAAAGACAGAGCGCTGAATATCAACATCCGTCTTCTCCTCAGGCGAAATAGTTCAAAACACAACCATCCGCCAAAAAACTTCTTTTGACTGTGTTTTGGGATGCTCACCGAGTTTATGTGACCGATTTTCTGGAACAGGGGCAACGGTAAATTCTTCTCAGTACATACAGACTCTAAAACACCTCCGGCGTCAAGTTTGTCGTGTTAGAGGCAGTCTGGCGCCAATAATCTTGCAACATGACAATGCTCGTCCACACACCTCGCGCGCAACTGAAGAGGCTCTGCGAAACCTGAAGTTTGAACCGATTCCACACCCTCCTTATTCCCCCGATCTTGCTCTACTCAAGAGAGACCTCAAGGGTAATCATTACACCTTGGACGATGAGGTGAAGGCAGCTGTCAAGTCCTGGATTCGAGAAAAGTCGGAAGAATTTTTCGGTGACGGAATGAAAAAACTTGTTACACTTTGGGAGAAATGTGTTAGCCTTAACGGTGACTATGTTGAAAAATAAATATATGCTTTTGAAACTTAAGAATTGTACTTTAATGTACTTTTTGCCCAATCTTGCTATTTGTTTTTGTTCGCACTCTACAAGCATGTGTGCATTATTTTTCAGCCTACCCACGTATATCCCTTGTGACAAACGCTACAATTAAAACATTCTGAGTGGTAAATTTCGAAATATTCAGTAAACGGTAGTATGTACTGCGTTGAGTTTTATGTTCAGCAGTAAAATAAACAAGTTCTAATATGTTAGTTCAGCTGCCTTTAAATTACCTTGTCTCTATACTCCAAATTGGAATGCACCATTTCATTTTTGTCACAACTTGTTATGCATGTTTTTTCTCTCACTCTTATAGACGAAAACATTGATGAAACATATGGAATCAATGTACAGTTTGAAGAATCTGAAGAGGAAGATGATGAAGATATATATGGAGAAGTGAGAGAAGAGGAAGATGAAGAAGAAGGAGAAGAAGCAAAATTAGATGGTGCAATTCATGCAGAGAATGTAAGTAAAATTCTAATATGAATGTGTATTCCATAGAACAATACAGGTCTTATTTGTATACAACAGTTGATTGGTATATCGAACTACCTTATTTTTACGAGGAAATGTGGACTTACAGTATCATAAGTAGAGAGGTGACAAGGAATGCACACAGGATTTTGGTAGAGAAAACTCTTGGAAATGGTGGCATGGAAGACTGAGAAGGAGGTATGAGGATAATATTTACCTTTACCTATACCAGAATGTAATTTCTGTTGATGAATTAGTAGCAGCTGAGTCACTTTAAGCAACAGTATTTTTGGGTGTTATGGAGTGTTGCAATTATTTTGTAAATTGATTTTGAAACATATTTACAAATTATTCTGGAAATGTCATATTTCTTGTTTGTATTGTACTTGAATGCATGGTCTGGTTTTATGAAAATCCTCTCTTCTCTTGCAGTTAGGGGGAGCAGAGGAAATGAAGAAAGAAAAGTCACTTCACCCTTTAGATATTGATGCATATTGGCTTCAGCGCCGGTTGTCAAAATTCTATGATGATGCAATGGCATCCCAAGCAAAAGCAGCTGAGGTCCTTTCAGTTCTTAGAGATGCCGGAGATGACCGGGATTGTGAGAACCAGCTTGTTCTGCTGCTTGGTTATGATTGCTTCGATTTTATCAAATTACTAAAAAAGCACAGGCACATGAGTAAGTACCATATTCACTTATAAAAGGTCCAGAACTGGAACATTTTGTTGTTTTGACATCCATTCTTCTGTCTATGTAAGATTTGAGATTTTCTTGGCATGGGCTGTATAGATTGTGACATCAGTCATCAAAGATTATGATTGTATGCTAATAATGTTTGGTAGAAGGAGCATGTGAATATTGATTGCTTTAAGCACTGTCACACAAAATTGAAGCATGTGTTCTGGAAAGTAAAAAATTTCTTATGGTTACATATGAAACAAAATTCATCAAATGTGGGAAAATTGTTGTTGAGCTTCTACTGGAATGAGTCAAAATACTCACTAAATGTAAGACACTGAGTTGGGATTTTCTATAGTTACTTAGTTAAAGTGGGGTACACTAATTTTTGGAGAAAATAAACTGTCTGCTTGAAAACGGGATGACTGTACTCATAACAATCAGGGTATCTTCATGGTTATTACACCATGTTTTATGAACAAGTTAAGAATGTGTAACACATTTGTTGTAGTACTCTACTGCACTCTTCTGGCCTCATCTCAGAGTGAATCAGAGCGACAAAAGATACGAGATAAAATGAATGAAGACTCGTCCCTGGCTCGCATTCTAAGGCAGCTGGATACTGGAAAGGGTGAAGATGATGGTGGAGGGGAGGATGGTGGAATAGCAAGAGCTTCTCGGCGCAAGGAACAGGCAGATGAAGGGCTAGATGGTGCACGGGGCCAGGTTCCAGGATCAAGGCAGCTGTTGGACTTGGAGGATCTCACATTTGCTCAAGGTTCACATTTCATGGCTAACAAACGCTGCCAGCTCCCTGATGGGTCATTTAGGAAGCAGAGGAAGGGTGAGTCTAGTGCTTTTATAATAATTTTTTTCTTACCATCCTTTGATACATTTTTATATAGAAGAAAAGTCGCATTTTTTCTCTCATTTTCTCTGATAATTCCGTTATGTAAGAGTAATTCGTTTCCATTTTACCAGAGATGCCTGTGTTACAATACAACATTTCAGAATGCATTCTTTTACAGGTTATGAAGAAGTTCATGTCCCTGCATTGAAGTCAAAGCCCTTTGCACCAGATGAAAGTTTATATGCTATAGAAAAGTTGCCAAAATATGTGCAGCCAGCGTTTGAAGACTTCAAGACATTAAACAGAATTCAGAGTAGACTGTATAAGGCAGCACTTGATTCAGATGAAAATATTTTACTTTGTGCTCCTACTGTAAGTAACAGTTAAGATTTTCCTGGTTTGATCTGAAGCATATTGAAGATAAATGCACTTATACTTTACTGTTTATGATGAATTTCATTAGTGTAAAGTCTGAAGATGTGTTTATCTCTTTCACTTTTGGTGAAAAGTAAGCCATGTCTAGATTAGTTACATGGCCCACCAAGCCATCCAATGACTGGGTAAGAGAACTTTATTTTCCTGGCTGTTAAAGATACTGGAGCATGAGGTTGGCCACTCATCTCCATCTTGTGGCATACTTAAGAATGTTGAATTCTCTCCTCTGGGATGTTATCTCATGTATTCCAGTGAACATCAGCTGACAATTCAGAGGAATATATATCCTCCATCTATCACGGTTTAAGAATAAACGAAACAAGAAGCAGGGGGGGAAGGAGAGATTGGAAATTGTTGCGTAAAACTAAAAAAGTACCATTTTTTCTACCATAAAATATGGCAGAGCCCTGTATTTATTTAAATATAGTATACTCAGTCAGTATAGTTCGCTTGCGGACTAAAATCATGGAGGTTTATTATTATTATTATTTTATACTTGATTTTCAGTAAATTTCATTTTTGAGGCAGGGTTTAAAACTGTGGAAAACCAATCACATATGACATATAGCATAAATGAAAGAAGTGAAATATGAAAATGAGAGATTTAGTGGGTTTGCATAGTGGTACCACTGTAGACTAATATTTAGAAGGTACTCGGTTTGAATCTTTTGCATGACAGTGGCTGTCATGTCTGAGGTTTTTCATAGTTTTCCTCAGTTCTTGCAGGTAAATGCCAAGATAGCACCACAGTTAGGCCATCACTGCTTCCTTCCAAACCCTCTACAATTTATCATTTATCATCCTACCATTTGGCACTGTGTAGGTCTGGCTATACTGACAGCACAGTAAAGTATAACCTACAAAAAGAAATGAGTGAGGTAAGAAAAAAGCAGCATGTCACTGACACTTTTGAGGGCTTTATGATTGCTTCTCTGTGTCTTTAATACCTGAAGGTAACCAGTGAGCATGTTAGAGCTCTTGTGTGCCCGTTGTATCTTAGCCATTATACAAAGTAAGAATTATGATACGTTTATTTCCCTCATCCAGGGAGCAGGTAAAACGAATGTGGCTCTTCTGTGCATGCTCCGAGAAATTGGAAAGCATATCAATGCTGATGGCACAATAAATACAGATGAATTCAAGATCATTTATGTGGCTCCTATGAGATCTCTTGTACAAGAAATGGTGGGAAATTTTAGCAAGGTAAGTCTCCCCTTCTCTGCTTTGAATATATATATTTTTGTGAAACTGGCACAGAGTTCAGGATTATGGAGTTTTTGAACTTCGTCCATTGTCTAATATTCTGAAAGAATGTCCCATTCCAGAAACTGGATCTGTTTCCATCCTGAAACTTTGTAATCTCAAGCCTAATACATCACTGTGCAAGCCATTTAGAATTGATTAGCATAGAGTACATGCAGAAAATAAAATATCCCATGCATCATGTGGTACACTTTTCCAGACTTGTCTATAGATAGCAGGCTTCATCTCAACTTCTGCAGTTTGTATGAAAGAACTCCTTCTGACCTGTGTATCAGTGGAGGAGAAAATTATAATCTTTATACATCAATTCTGCACATAATATATAAAATGTATAATATGCAGCACAAGTTTTGTTCCTCTGCATTTTCATTTACCAAATCAGTGATATTTGATTGACTTTGGTAGTGGATGTGTACACTAGAATTAGTGAGACGGAGTTTACTTTGGCCTCGGTCTGCTATAACTGTCCTAATTTAAGTTAATTTGAAATTGATCATTGTCATGTAATATATTATTGTACGAGAAATAGTTATATGTACACAACCAGAAAACTCTTTTGCTATCATTTCATTCCAAATTATGGAGGTCACTTTTATCTGCAAACGAGAAACACTAATTCAATATGGAAACTGTGGCACATTTTTAAAATTATGTATCAGTTGAGAATCATATTGATAATAAAATATTTTGAAAGCAATAATCATTTGTTTTTCGTTGCTGTTGCCATCAAACTCGCACAGTTTTGAGGCACATTTTGTAATGTCGACATTTGTAAGACATGACTGTATATTAATATCTTTATTACTGTGCAGTTGAAGACAGTGATGCATGAAGCAGAAATATTCTCATAACAATACTTCATTCACATGCAAGTTTTGATGCTGGATGCTGTTAGCAGACGTCACTTCATTTTTAGATGGACTGCAATTGTTTTCAGTGATCAGTAGAAACTGATTTAAGCTCCCGTATACTATATTGATGTTGAAGTTTAACATTTACGTATAATATTATATGTTTTGTACTGTGTTATCTCACTGATATTTTAATTTTCTAGGACCAGTCATGATGATACTTTGCAGTTTTTCTTTCACCACTTGGCCATTGGAGATCAATTGTTTCTTTAATTATAACATTTTATTTTGTTTCAGAGGTTAAATTCTTATAATTTGACAGTGTCAGAGTTGACAGGTGATCATCAGCTGACAAGGGAACAGATCCAGGCTACACAGATAATTGTGTGTACACCAGAGAAATGGGATATTATTACAAGAAAGGGAGGAGAGAAAACTTATACACAACTTGTGCGACTGATCATCCTTGTAAGTTGCCAGTAGTCTGCATACGTAATTATTCATCAGCACAATAAGCAGTTTGGGGTTGTTTGTACATAAACATTAAATTAAAGTAATACATCTAGAGCTGTAAAGTGATATAGTGATGTTATAGCTTAATAAAAACTTGTAACATTCCTAAAAATGCTTATTGTACCATATTCAGAATATCCAAAAATGATTGTAATATGTCCATCCCAAAACTTGTGATTACATACGAANAGACTTGTCTATAGATAGCAGGCTTCATCTCAACTTCTGCAGTTTGTATGAAAGAACTCCTGACCTGGAAAATTATAATCTTTATACATCAATTCTGCACATAATATATAAAATGTATAATATGCAGCACAAGTTTTGTTCCTCTGCATTTTCATTTACCAAATCAGTGATATTTGATTGACTTTGGTAGTGGATGTGTACACTAGAATTAGTGAGACGGAGTTTACTTTGGCCTCGGTCTGCTATAACTGTCCTAATTTAAGTAAATTTGAAATTGATCATTGTCATGTAATATATTATTGTACGAGAAATAGTTATATGTACACAACCAGAAAACTCTTTTGCTATCATTTCATTCCAAATTATGGAGGTCACTTTTATCTGCAAACGAGAAACACTAATTCAATATGGAAACTGTGGCACATTTTTAAAATTATGTATCAGTTGAGAATCATATTGATAATAAAATATTTTGAAAGCAATAATCATTTGTTTTTCGTTGCTGTTGCCATCAAACTCGCACAGTTTTGAGGCACATTTTGTAATGTCGACATTTGTAAGACATGACTGTATATTAATATCTTTATTACTGTGCAGTTGAAGACAGTGATGCATGAAGCAGAAATATTCTCATAACAATACTTCATTCACATGCAAGTTTTGATGCTGGATGCTGTTAGCAGACGTCACTTCATTTTTAGATGGACTGCAATTGTTTTCAGTGATCAGTAGAAACTGATTTAAGCTCCCGTATACTATATTGATGTTGAAGTTTAACATTTACGTATAATATTATATGTTTTGTACTGTGTTATCTCACTGATATTTTAATTTTCTAGGACCAGTCATGATGATACTTTGCAGTTTTTCTTTCACCACTTGGCCATTGGAGATCAATTGTTTCTTTAATTATAACATTTTATTTTGTTTCAGAGGTTAAATTCTTATAATTTGACAGTGTCAGAGTTGACAGGTGATCATCAGCTGACAAGGGAACAGATCCAGGCTACACAGATAATTGTGTGTACACCAGAGAAATGGGATATTATTACAAGAAAGGGAGGAGAGAAAACTTATACACAACTTGTGCGACTGATCATCCTTGTAAGTTGCCAGTAGTCTGCATACGTAATTATTCATCAGCACAATAAGCAGTTTGGGGTTGTTTGTACATAAACATTAAATTAAAGTAATACATCTAGAGCTGTAAAGTGATATAGTGATGTTATAGCTTAATAAAAACTTGTAACATTCCTAAAAATGCTTATTGTACCTTATTCAGAATATCCAAAAATGATTGTAATATGTCCATCCCAAAACTTGTGATTACATATGTAATGTAACATAAACCTTTGTAGTCCAATTTAAATAGCACTACCATTCTCTGCTGGTCTTATTTAAATACTACTGAACTATTTATTTGCAGCTACTCTTATGAGCTACTTTGTTTTTTCTTATAATTTCCATAAAATGCAGGAAACTCTGCTATGTGTGATGAAAATATGGTCTGCCAGAATCATAGAGCCTTCTGTTTGAATATTGAATGTGAGAAATATTTCGTGAGGACTGTACCACTCTCACTAATGACACATATAGTGAATGGTGCCATCCTGTTTACTGTTTGCCAGAGAACAAGATGAGTCCCACTTTGAATAGGAGATTCACGACATCTAAACATCTCATATTATGTAGGCATTAAGTATAAGCATTAGCTGTTATTACCTCCCAGCTATGTTTCCATTCCAGCTGTTAGTATTCATAAGTTCAAGACTGAGGACAGCACTGTAAAATGAAACAATGTGAAGAGTAAATGATGAAGTCACTCCTTATAAAGAATGTGTGATAGGAAAACGATTGAACATGCATGTGTCAATGATGGAGTGCTCTGTGCATAAAAAACAATGAAAGAATAGAATTTTCTAGAGGAAAGATGGGATATTTTTTCTATAAGTTTATGAGATATAAAATATTTCTATTAACTACATACCAAACAGTACTTCATCACTCTGTGGTATATGGCAGAAGACTTGTTGGGGTGGAGTCCTGGCTTCCTGGATATGCGTCGCAATAAAACAACCTTTCGCTTCTCTGTTGGAAGAAACTGCACAATCCTCTTTGCCTAAATTTGGTGCAGTATGCCTTTCAAACAGTCTTCTACATCTATTCATTTTGGTTTTCCTCTCCTTTGGATCACTGTGTTTTGAATGTTTCATATTAATCCTTCAATCTCTTTCTTACAGAACAAAGTTGGAAGTCTTTCTGACTGTAGTTTCATGTTGTACAGGTTTTTTTACTAACGTATCTGTTATTTGCAGCAGCTGCTTCTTCAAACAAGCTTGCACTAAAATATAGCATAAAAAATATGCAGAAACAGGCATCTGTCTGCTTCTAAGTGGTTTATAATCAGATGAGGCATGAAATGGTATCATTTAGAAATCATTCTTATTTTCATCCCAGAGAGCCCAGCCATCATTGTTATAATCTTCGTCACTACAGCCTCCATCATCACCACCTGCATTTCCACTTCCCTGACAGTCATCAGAATTGCTACAACTGTCACTCAAATCACACCCACTTATTTTGGCATCAGAGTCAGTACAGTCAAATATATCAATATCTGAATCCAGACTAAATTCACTGAAAGAATCTTGAGTCAACATGCAGTTGTTCGTGGATTTCTTTACTGTCCACTGGAAGATGCCACTGGGCTATATTTGCAGAGAAAAGAATATCAGACCTGTGGCAACATCCCTCATAGCATGCTGTTTCGCCCGTCTTTCAGACAACACTCACTCCTAAGTGAATATCACATTGCTGGCAGCACTCGGTGTCCAGCTCACATTTAGATGATAACGTGAGCTAGCCAATCAGCGCTCAGAATCGCAACTGCAAGTTTCACTCCTCCATCAAGCATGGTATAAAAGGCAGAGCCCAAAGCTCACAGTCATCAGTGAACACACTCAGTTCAGAGTGATCATTCGTCAGAAACATCAGCTCTGCACTGCGACCAGGCAACTGACGTAGTTGCCACAAGCCTCCAGTGACCAGGCAACCGAAGTAGTAGCTGCAAGTCTCCAGCGACCAGGCAGTGAACACAGCTGCCGCAACTCCAGCAACTGGCTAAGGCAGCCGTTTCTACCGGTGCGCGCAGCCCTGCATCACCATCCAGACAGGCCAGCTGAATGGCCGTAAGACTCCGCCTACTACAGAGAAGCAAAATCTGCTGGCACAGTCGCAGTGGAACAAACTTCCCTTAGAGGGCCAGCCAACTGTTGAACATTCCACAAATATTCTGTATTCTGCTATTCTGTAAATTCAGTTTATATGATTTAATATATACAATTGTTACAGTTTCATGTGGTTGTCATTTAGAACATCGACAATCCCACAGACCCTTCAAAAAATCTGTATAAAATTCACAGAAGTTTTAAAATGAGATGTTTGTTTACACCACTACAAAGAGGAAGGCTTGAATGACGGTTAACACTGTTCTCCCCTAGACCGATTGCAGATCATCTGTAATATTTCTAAATCATCTGGTGGACTGAGTCCAACGTAGAACTGCAACAGGTTGAGGTTTAAATAATAATATGGATTTTGCAGAACTTAATTAACATCCAGTTTTTATGTTGTGCATCATTTATTGTTATTTAGAACTCTGTACAATGGGTATTAAATAAGATGGGCAAAGTTTTAAAGTACTGTAATGAAATTTTGATCATAGTAAACCAAGTTCATAGTTGTAGTGTTGCAGATAGATGACAGTAGACTTTCTTCAAGAGCTTGAAATATAATATTAAATAAAATACTACTAGGTAGAAGAAAGTCATGGGGGAGAGGCAGTGAGGAAAGATCTGCAAAAGAAGTTGAACACATACAGCAAGAATGCTTATGGGAGGACAGAGAGTAGTGGGGAGTACTTTTTCATAGGGTGGCATAACCCGGTGGAGACGTGTGCAGTGATGGTTCAGATTGCAACTTGATCTTCATCTCTTCTCTTATGCAGGATGAAGTTCATTTACTTCATGATGAAAGAGGACCTGTACTTGAAGCTTTGGTAGCACGGACAATACGCAACATTGAAACCACACAGGAGGATGTTCGACTTGTGGGTCTCAGTGCCACCTTGCCCAATTACCAAGATGTATCCACTTTTCTGAGGATTAAACAGGAGACAGTAAGTATAAATTGCTTATAGCACTTTTACTTAGAATTTGTTTCCCAATTGTTATATGTTTGTCTAAAATTCAAATATTGTCTTCAGTTCTGTTTTATTGTGCAAACTGCTGCAGTTTTATAGATATTTGAGAAAGGCCTCAGACTTCACAATGAAATGTAGTTTCTAAAATTGAAGACTATTAAATAATGTGGAAGGAATATGAACTTAGATGGTAATCATATGATGCCTGAGCATATACATACAGGACATATAGGACAAATGAAAATTATGGAATAGGAATACAGGAGAAAGGAGGGTAGGAGATGAAGACAGCTTATAAGAAACTTCCAGTTTAATTTTCAGCAGGCCTTCTCAACTGATACAGAGATATTAGTGATGAAGAAACTTAACCAGCATGATGCTGTTGACTGTACTGAGTCAAGGGTTAAGTGGCTGCAACATGAAAACATACCTCTCTCTGTTGCTGAGGATAGTATGGAGCTTTACCTCCATGACCCACTGCCTATACACCTATATAGTGCTGTGCTTAGTCACAGGTGGTTTTTTCTTACTATGTATTGCAAAGAGATCCTTGTCCATTTGAAATCAGAAAGCAATCTGTTCAGTTTCCTTGCTTGTGATTAATCATGGAATTTAGCTCAGTATAGTTCAGTAGCACACGGTAGCGTAGCTGGTTGAGCGGCAATGCTACAAGCTGGAAGGGGTTCAGGTCCCGATGAGGTCATCGGATTTTTTCAGTTAACCTAATCCTTCCATCTGCACTATGGCCCTGGGGTTGACTCAGCCTCTAACAGAAATGAGTACCAGGAATTAATTAATTTGCCTGAGAAGTAAAGCGCGTAAGACTGACAACCTTATGCGCAGCGTAAGGCTGACAACCTTCCTGCCATCTTTGAACCGATTGTCTAGATAGTGTGGGCCCCCCAACGTCTCACAACCCTATTGGCCTTCACGGCCTCTTTCAGCGATAGCTTTACTTTTTACTTTAGTTCGGTAACATTACAAATAATCTCATCTACCACCTGGTCATTTATGACTTGGCTGCCACATTTATGTAGTTGACATATTGATCCTATTCAGTACATAACCAACTTCCGTGCATAATTGGTAGTTGCTGTCCATATAAAATTGTGTAGTACTGTAGTTTCATCATTAAGAAATGTTTGATGATGGGCATTATATTTCAAAAGTACTACCATAATAAAGTTACGGTGCTCCCAGTGTGACATGTGCTATTCTAGCAGATATGAAAGGTCATTAATTAAATATCAATTCACTTTATTTACTTATTTATATATTTCATTTCATTTGATGCATTTGTTTATAAGACTCAGCAAATTGGCTAACGTTTTGCAGCATCTTGTCCTGTCATGACATTATGTTGGCTGTACGCCCTTGGTTTGATTGACATTCAAGCTGTTTTGTTGTTGCTTCAGCAGAATCAAAAATATAAAGTTCTCCATGTCCTGGCAAATTTGCCATGTTTGAATATGGCAATGAGAAACGGTAAATGTGGCCATATATATAAACAGTGTGAACCATTTCCAGGTGGTGGTTTAATCATTGCACCCATTAATGCCAATGCTGAGTTCTGCTTTCATATACAGGGGTGGACAAAATAATGGAAGCACTAAGAAATTGATTAATAAAATTTGTATTGGCAACATTGAAAGAGCTTCAGTTGGTGACACTGAGTATTCGTTCATTTGTTTACAATTTTTAGTGATCATGTCAGTGAATTAGTAATTGTATTGACTGTCGGTCCATGTGAAAGAATCAGAAAACGGGAGACTTGTCCGATTCTAAAAGAGGACAGATCATTGGTGTGCGTTTACTTGGAGCATCTGTGACAAAAAGTGACACATTATTAGGTGTATCGAGAGTGACAGTTTCTAAGATTATGTGGGCATACGCGAATCACGGGAAGGCAACATCAGTGACAAGGAACAGTGGGCAGAAATCAGCATTGACAGAAAGAGATCATTATACATTGAGAAGGATTATTTTGAAAAATCACAGCACTACTGCAGCACAGATGACAGCAGAACCAGTTTGTTCATCTTGAAGACCCAGTTTTCACAGAAACTGGTCAACGTGAGCTTCACAAATCAAGCTTCCACTGTAGAGCTGCAATTGCTAAACCTCTGATTACTGAAAGTAAAGCTGAAATGTGTAAATGATGGTGTCACAACCATAAACCCTGGATGTCAGACAATAGGAAATGCGCGTGATATGGTCAGATGATCATCCATCATGCCTTTTCCCACATCAGGAAGAGTTTACATTTTGAGAACATCCAAGGAAGCTAATAATCTGGAATGCCTGGTTCCAGCAGTGAAACACAGGGGAGGTTCTATGACAGTTTGGGCAGCAATATCATAGTACAGTAATAACAGTAAAAGTTGCATTACTGGAAGTGTGCTGCGCAAGAGGGATCCCAGTCCTGATGCAAAATCCATTTGTGTGGCCAAAGATATGGTCTTTTTGATGAATGTGCTGCCCAGAACATCCTAAAACTTCAAGTTATAGGGCTAGACTGTTTTGGAGGACCAAATTTATAATGAATACTTCTTTGATATCCCTGTAACAGGCTTTGAAGTCCCATAGGGTTGTGAGATGTTGAGGCTCCCACATTCTTTAGACAGTCGGCTCACAGCTGGCAATGAGGTTGTCAGCCTTACGCACCAGCCGCCCTTTATCCCGCAGGAAGATTCCTGGTACTCATTTCTCTGAGTCGACCCCAGGCCATACTGCAGCTGATAGGATTACGTCAGTTTGAAAACCCATGACCTTCCAGCTTGTAGCAGAGTGCCTCAACCAACTATGCTACCATGTGCCCCTCAGAAGAATATATCTGTATAATTTTGACATTCATGCATTTTATGGTCGCAGAGGATCTGAGCTTTTCCATTGGAGATCTTATGGTATATTGTTTTGTGGTTGTACTGGAATATCCAAATCTTACTGATAGGTCTGAGTAAATTATTTTTCTAATTTTTTGCTCACTGCAGAGATTTTTCAGATGCATTTTGGTTTAGATGTTTGGTTAGAATCAGTCTGAGTTTCCATATTCATATTTAGGTTTTCTGTTATGTCTTGTCATTGCAGTCACTTTTCCACATTTGATTCAGCTTTGGAATTGTCAGATGGTTGGATGTTCCAACAAAAATCTGTATTACTCATTGTTTCCTCTCCACAAAATTATAGCATTTTGTAAATGTCAATGGCTTTTTTTCCTGTGATTGCAGTAACAAATTTGTATTGATTCTCTATCAGTTATCACCAATGTTTTTGACAAACAAACAAAACGTTGTATGCATGAAGGCATTTACTATAATCACAAGGCAAACTAATCACAGTGACTGACACAGAACTGCTGAACCATATACTTCTGTTGCCAGGTCACCAGTGTTACCTATTGCTCAACAGCAAGATCAGTTTGGTTATTCAGTTGTTAGACCTTGTATTTGTACACAAAGGGTGTAAATGAATATTGCCAGCATGTATGTTCTTCTGTGTAGGGCTTGTTCTACTTTGACAACAGTTTTCGTCCTGTTGCATTAGAACAGCAATACATTGGAGTGACAGAGAAGAAAGCAATGAAAAGATTCCAAGTGATGAACGAAATTGTGTATGAAAAAGTTATGGAGCATGCAGGTCATAACCAGGTGCTTGTGTTTGTGCATTCACGTAAAGAAACAGGTGAGAACTTCCATGTTTATTGAGACTACTTTATTTATAGTTTAGTTAATGACCATATCATTAACTCAAACTGTTTAACATCTGATGGTAGGATGTCAGCAAATACATAATGATTTGGAAAGAATGTGGAAGGAGGTGACGGTGACCTAATTTGAGGTACTATCCTGGCATTTTCCCTGAGTGGATAGCTGGTCTGTGAGCCAATATTTGAACATGGGACGCCTTAGATATGAAGCAGGGGTGCTGAGCATTGTCCAAGATATTAGGTTTCATTGGGGCTAATTATGTTGGATACAGAGCTTTGATTTAGAGTGTATATGCAGGGGACATAGTTTTTTTTAACATTTTCAGGCTTAAGTAGTCAGGAAAAAGTCTATTTTTAGGGAAAGATGGTTTTCCAGAACCTGATAGTTAATATTTAGTTCAGAAGTTTTTGATGCATCTAATATCAGAAATGAACACTAGAAATTTGCTGAAATTAGCTGAGACGTGCACATTCCAATATAGAATTTTGAACATGTGAACACTGAAATTGAAGGCTGAAATCATTTAAGCCAATGTTTTGCACAAGTACATAACTGCTGAATGGGATTTACCAAAATAATTTTGGTGGCGGGGTGAATTAGAATGTTCATTTCACTTGCTCTTTTCTGTTAAAACCTAAGTCACTAATGTGACATATTTTGAAGCACAATTTGGAACTATTTAGACACACTTTTACTGAGATGAGATTTAACTATCATATGATACAATCAGTTTATTACTTGATATATTAACAGCTACTTTGTTACAGGGAAAACTGCTCGAGCAATTCGAGACATGTGTCTTGAAAAGGATACTCTTGGCCAGTTCTTGAGGGAAGGTTCAGCATCCATGGAAGTTCTGAGAACTGAGGCTGAGCAAGTGAAGGTATGTCCATAGTTTTGGTGTCCTCCTTTGAACACAATGTTGAATTTTTGAGTTCCATAAAAGGTGGGAAATTTTTATACATTTGCAGCACTGTCTGCTGCTTCTTGTTGTATGAAGTTATAAAACCTGGACTAAACTCACATTCTAATCCAAGAAGAGATCACACATCTCTTAGTCGTTATATAAGTAAATGTTATATTTGCTGAGATATTGGGTTTTCGGACTTTATCCATCGTCCTGGTTTTAAGATAACTAAGAAAAACACGACATTTCGGAAACTGGATCTGTTTCCATCCTCAGGTGAGGGAAAAGACCTATTCTGTTGGGTCCCTTAGAAAGAGCTAGCCTCAATCACCCAACAGAATAGGTGTTTTCGCTCACCTGAGGATGGAAACAGATCCAGTTTCCGAAACGTTGTGTTTTCTTAGTTATCTTAAAACCAGGACGATGGATAAAGTCCGAAAACCCAATATCTCTGAGTGCTATACACCATCGTCAGTTATATTTGCTGTTTGCAGAATCATGAACTGAAAGATCTCTTACCGTATGGGTTCGCCATCCATCATGCAGGTATGACTCGAGTTGACAGAACATTGGTAGAAGATCTGTTTGCTGACAGGCATATTCAGGTAATTACTGGTGTGCGATCGTCATAATACTGTCCATCTAACCTTTAGTTTGATTGTTGTCTTTCAGTGTGTTGTAGGATTTGAGGTCCTCACCAGCAGTGGTTAAGAAGAGTTGTGTCTTGTATGATATATGACTCAGTATAATTCATTGAAAGTCAACTGACATTTCAGAGGACTGTCGCCTCCATCTTCAGGTTGACTTTCAACAGACTAGGCAGCATTATATCCAAAAAGACAGAACTTTTCAACAAGTTGTTCAGTTGGCAGGGATGTTTTATTTCTGTGTTTCAGTGAATATTAAATTATCCGAATTTTTATAATTAGAACACCCACCTGCTAAATCTGAAGAGAATGGCTTTATTTTCTATTTTAATCTTGCATTACTGGCAGATATCTTTCAACATTTAAGATTACCATTATCATTGTTAGGTGGGATAGCTCAGTATAATTACTGTCTGTGGACTGTATGACCTGGATTTGATGCCCAGCAAGAGAAGGATTTTTTCTGTCTGTAACCATGTACAGATGGGCTCTGAGACTCACCCACGTCTTGTCCAGTGGGTGTCAGACTCTTCTCCAAAGGTGTGATGGCCAGAGTGTTTAGATGACTATTCAGTGCGCTGTGGTGTCAATGTTAAGAGAGTATGGAGCTATACCTCCACTGTCCAGTACATCTTCATAATGTGATGCTTAGTTAAGCATATGGAAAATTTAAGACATCATTATATTTCACTGAAGTCTCCCAAGGTTATAAACCTCATCTTGTTTCATTATAAATTACCAAAGTAAAGAAGCATCATCTGCTTTTCTCATGAGAGCAGATGTGATATTGTATAGTTTGTGCGCTAGCCCCAGAGATAGGGGCCAGTTCTATCTATTGGACCCAACTGAGTGGGTTTTACTTGAGGAAGGGGACAGAATCTAGTCTCCGAAACATGTTTTGAAAAAGAAACAGGATGGTTTTTAAGGTCTGGAGATAGGAGCTAGCTCTATCTATTGGACCCAACTGAGTAGGTTTTACCTGAGGACAGGGACAGAATCCAGTCTCCGAAACATTGTTTTGAAAAAGAAACAGGACGGTTTTTTAAGGTCTGGAGATAGGGGCTAGCTCTTTCTATTGGACCCAACTGAGTAGGTTTTACCTGAGGACAGGGACAGAATCCAGTCTCCGAAAACGTTGTGTTATGAAAAAGAAACAGGACAGTTTTTTAAAACATAGACAAGACGATGGATAATGTCCAAACACACAATACTTGTAGCAATATACCATCATCACAGTCTTTTAGATCTTATCATCATATATACTACAATATATGGATCATACATTTGTGATTCTGTAACATGGTAAAGGAATATTTCACAGTACTTGAACAACATACATCCTGGAAGTAGAAGACTCACTTCTCAATGTCAGAATGTATTCGCCAGTGATCTTCATTAAATAAAGTTAAAAGACAAATATAGAAACAAATGGGCACCTGTGATAAAGAAAGCTAAGGTTGTTAGTGAACTGCAGAGCCAAGGAGCAAGTGACAAAGTACTGCTCTTCATAACCCACTTGTATTAAGTGGGAGATTTTAACGGAACCCTAACAGGACATTAAAGTTATTGTTCAGCAAGTCTGCTCATACAAAAAGTGTTTATTATAATGCACAAATGTATACTAATAAGTATGTTCAGTCTTTCATGCATGCTCACATTCTGTTGTGCCTTTGATGTCTGAACTCTAATTTTATGACAATGTTTTTCTGCTTGTAATATTTTTTCATTTAAAGTGTTCAAACTTTGTAGTCCTCAATAGAGTTTTAGTAGAGGGCCAGTGTTTAAACTAGTTAAGTTATGATGTGGTTAAATTTCAGTTCCTAACTTCACAATGTGACAAGCGTGAAATGTAGAATCCTGTGAATATACTTAAGTTATGCTCCTGATTTGACAGGTTCTCGTGTCTACTGCCACCTTGGCTTGGGGTGTAAACTTGCCAGCACACACAGTCATCATAAAGGGAACACAAGTTTACAACCCCGAGAAAGGTCGTTGGGTAGAGTTAGGAGCACTGGATGTATTGCAGGTATTGTCCTTTTCTTCTCCTGCCAAATATTGTACTGGAATATTTTCTGAAGATTTTGAAGTACCTTTCTTATTAATTGTGTGCCTTATTATTTGAACTTTGAATTTTAGATATGTTTACAGTACAATGGAACCCGTTATTTATATTATGAGGGGCAGTCAAATGAAAACTGGTCAGAAGCCAAAACATATTAAAGAACATTTCTTGCCTCAAAAAAAAAATCTCCAGAGCTGTTAATATATTTATCCCACTGGGAGATAAGACAGTGAATCCCATCCTTGGAAAAACTTGTGGGCTATCTACAGAACCACATCTTTACCCAGCCCCACACATCTTCGTCCAGTGCAAACCGATGTCCACAAATGTCTCTCTTCAGGTCTCCAGAAATGTGAAAATCACATGGGGACAGATCTGGGCTGTAGGGGGGATGCTGAAGCACTTCCCAACCAAATCTCTCTAGCATATTCCTCACAGAGTTGGCAGTGTGGGGGTGCGCATTATCATGAAGAAGGGTAATGCCGTTCGGTAGCATTCCAGGGCGTTTTGACTTTATGGCACGTCTCAGTTTCTGCAAAGTGTCTTCATAGCGCTATGCACTGATTGTGGCCCCATGCTCGAGAAATTCGACAAGCAGAGGGCCCTTGCAGTCGAAGAAGGAAGTCATCACTTTACTGGAACTTGTGTGTATGGCTTTGGATTTCTTCGGTGGGTGACAATTCACGTGTTTCCACTGTTGGCTCTGCTGTTTGCTCTCAGGTTCAAAATGGTGGCACCAAGTTTCGTCCCCAGTGGCAATATGAGACAGCAAAGCATACTCTTCCTCATGGTATTATTGCATGTGACCCAGTGATGCAGCCATTCTCTGAGTCTTCTGTTCCTCCATGTGTTGATGTGGAACCCACTGCGCACAGATTTTTAAGTACAGCAGATGTTTTGTCACAATGAAATGTACGGAACCGTGACTTATGACCATCCAACGCAACAATAGCATCAGGAGTGATGACATGATGAGCCTGTCCTGGGTGAGCATCATCTTGCAATGACACACGTCTCTCTCAGAATCCCTTATGCCACACCAGCACATGTGAACATGTCATGCTATGTTCACCGTAAACAACAGACATACGACGACGAATTTCTCATCATCCTACTCCTTCAGCAGTCAAAAAGCACACTACACTTCATTGTTCTTCTTTACCGGCCACCATTACTGATGTTGGATGACCACACATAGTGCTAACCTTACTTCCAGCACAATAAACAAACGACTAGTGTGCAAGAGCACACCACTGTGCTTTCCCAAGCCCCCAGCAGATGTTCATACCGTAAGCAAATTCCAGTGTTACCAACTTGCACGCCATGTGAGTTATGCGTGGTGACCCGTTTTCATTTGACTGACCCGTATACTGTTATAAGGAATAATGAAAAGTGGTGTAAATTGCAGAAAGGTGTAGTATGCAGGAAATGCAAAATTAATAAGCTTGGATGCTTACCTTGACCTTTACTCTTTGTTAGAATGCTCAGCAAAGAATGTAGATAAATTACTAAGCAATTTACATGGGCTGCGCCATAGCTCAAGTGGTTAGTCCTTGGCTTCCCACCGCAATGGCCCGGGTTCGATCCCGGGTCTGGTCAAGTGGGATTTCTGGTGGACAAAGTGGCGCTGGGGCAGGTTTTCTCCGAGTACTTCGGTTTCCCCTGCCAATCTTCATTCCACCAATTGCTCCACAATCACCCTCACCTATCATCTGGGGCTGGTACAATAGGCCAGAAGTGGCCGCAGTACAAGGGACTTGGTTCCTCCCCGCTAGCAATAAAAAAACAATTTACAAGCAGTTTTATAACATGATTCTTAGAAACCAAAAATTACAGTCTTGTGATGCAAGATAAATTATTCTTAAAGCACTATAAATGGTTTTAGCACATATTTAATTGCAATTCCTCAGGTTCTAATTTCTTCATTTGCTTTAAATTTTTTTATGCAAGTCCTGGTATGTTTCTTGACATCCCATAGTATGTTGAGTTTTTCTTATGTGGAAATGGGTTCTTCTTCTCCTCCTCTTCCTCTTATGTTACCATCATGCCTTATTAAACATGCAGATTCAAATAAAAAAAACTGTGGTGCCTGCAGCAGACTTGATGTAACAGGTTAAATCATAATGGTTGCTAACCTGAAAATAAAAAAGTCAGAAGCTAGAATAATTCTAGTAAAATGATGAATAGCCCATCAGAGTAGCCTGTGGTTGGCAAGGTAAGTTAATGAATTATGCACCCCCCACACACAAGAAAAGGAAACACCCTCAGATCCCAGGAAATTCAAATGAAATGACGTATATTTTTTGTAGGAACTAAAACCGCTGAAACTGTATGAGTAATGGGTTATAAAACATGATATGAATGAGAGAAAACATACACATTATGGGAAAGCAGGTACATGATCTTACTGTCCTTTTTCATTTTAAGAACACCATTCCCCTCCCAAAACTTTCCCCCTTTTTTCTCTCACCAAAATAAGAACTCTCATACTGAATCAAACTCGTGATCACTGTAAAACAGAGCTCTGCTATATTTGTGCCTGGGGCATCTTCAGCATGTATATCATATGTATATTATGTCAGTATTTCTTACTTTTACATTTTTATAGCTAACATGATTTTCTGTTGGATTTGTACAGATGCTTGGTCGTGCAGGTCGACCTCAGTATGATACCAAAGGAGAGGGTATTCTGATCACAAACCACAGTGAGCTGCAGTACTATCTGTCACTTTTGAACCAACAGCTGCCAATAGAGTCGCAGTGTATTAGCAAGCTACCAGATATGCTGAATGCAGAGATTGTACTGGGGACTATTCAGAATGTTAGAGATGCTGTTACATGGCTGGGATACACTTACCTCTATGTCAGGTAGGAAGTTGCCCTGTGCCAGGAATGAGGTTTCAGTTGGGAAACTTAATTAATTTGGCAGCTGAAATTCAAATTGTCATTTTCAATATCTAAAATATCTCTAAGGATATGTCAGCAGATAATGACATAGATCATTAATATCATGATAATAAATTGACTAGATTCTGTTTTCAGTGAAATTGCCATACTGGAGATTTTGTTGAACACGCAGGATTTTTCTTCCATAAGGTTGCTTGACTGAAAGTATGATGTACCCTCAAAAATGTCTTAAATAGGCATTAGCAGATGTATTTTGTTTCATGCAGTAGAGTAATTGGTTGAGGCACTGTGCTGCAAGCCAGAAGGTCACGGGTTCAAGTCCCGATGAGTTCATTGGAAAAAATAGGGAGAGAGAGGGGGGGGCATTTGGAGAGGAGTTGAGTGACTGGAGCTTACCCGTGTGGAGGCGGGGTCGAATACCTGCACCGTGGCCCTGTGAGTCATAGGAGATGATGAAAAGGGAAGTCTCAAATCTGAGACAGTAAAATATGGTCATAAATCCCAAGGGACTTGGACCCGAGAAAGACTGCGCTGGCAAGGGCCATCATATATACAAAATACAGACCCATCCTCTCGTCAGAGAGGGCGCCCCACGAAAACAAGACCCCGGATTCCTATAAGGCAGGTGATCTGAAATAGGTCATAACCACCTACTTCCAAATTCTATTCACTATTATTACTTATCTAAAAATCTCATTAAGCATCATATAACCTCTGCAGTTGAACTGGCATCATGAGTTATCATAATAATCAGACATTCCACTCACTGTCATGTTCCAGAGGACTTCTATATATACAGTAGAACTTGGTTATAACGTCATCAAAGGGACCTAAAAATAGTGTCGTTATAAACGAATGTCGTTGTAACCGAAATGGGCACTTCCACAGTAGCCTTATGT